GTGTACCAAGAACCACCCCTAAAAACAATTTCATGCAAATCCGTCTATAACGAGTTGAGTTATCTTGTCAGCAGACAAACCAACCAACCAACAAACTAACTAACTAAATCCGATGAAAACATAACCTCCTTGGCGCATGAAATTACAACAGAAACGTTCAGAGGCCGCCGATGCGACAAAGTGTGGAAACGAATAGGCCTTCAACATTAATTTCTTCACTACCCTGACAACGAAGTTCAATGTGAAATGTTATAAGACTATATGCTCGCTCCATATATCGGACCTGGACTTTATCCACCGATTTATTTTGCGGACAGAGGATTCATTAAAACCAGTACAGTGATGCAAACATTGGTATGTCTCGTTTGTACTGCTCCACATACCACGACTGCGCTGGCACATTGCCCCCACTAATGGACCCGTCTGAGACTTGCGGCAAAATCTGTCGTGATGTATTATAGCATTCAATCTGTTGTGATGTCTGATATATGTTTGTTGTTAAAAGAAGAGACACATAATGTCCTGGACCAACTCCCGAATAATCAGTGCACTTTCAAACGGGGGCAGTTTATTTATGTAATTATTAAATACTATTTCAGCCTGAGAATAAAGACGGCTGGTACATTGTTAAATGCTATACTGATCTCCTTTCCCGCTACGAAGTTTTGAAATATTTTAATGAAAATTGGAAAATAGCGCCCACAGCTTCAAAATGAGGTTCTGAATTTGCCCTTATCATTTCAACACCATTCTACACAATAAACAATCAAATCATCCTGATTTTGGTATTTGTGCTTGCAGCAGCAACCGGGTACGACGACCCAATGTTTTAATTACATCTTTCAATAATTCGAACCTTTAAAGACTTGACAGTATTTACAGAACTATCATCTATTATCTAGGCGTAAGAGCCTTTCATTATAGACACATTTAAGTGATCAATTAATTATACAGAATTATACCTGAGACAACACTCTTTTTGCAATTGTTATGATTAATTCTAATTATTCGTACCCCATTTGATATTATGGTTAGTCTCATCGCTGTGATGACTACCAGGTACGACAGGGTTTTAATAACGGTCATTCAATAATTTGAACCTTAAAGACGTCTTGATGGAGACAATATTTACAGAACTAGGGTCTATCATTTAGGCGTAAGAGCCTTTCATTTATCATATTTGCGTAATCAATACTAGAATTAACCTTGAGACTTCCCTCCTCTTTACAATTGTCATGGTTATTTCTGAATAATCGTTCCACATTTGATATTATATTAAGGCAAGCTTTTCAGAATTATCTCTTTTGGTTTTGTACAATACCAGATATCTTCCGCTGAGGATAAATCACGCATACTATGGTGCAAGTCTATTCAGACTTGTTTGCGTTCTGAACGCATTAGATCGCTAGAACAATTCTAGCATCTCATCTAGTAGATCTGATCTTTATGAATCTTACTGCCAACCTGCAAATCTCGTTTTATACCTCCGTCAGAAACTACTCCGACCATACCTTGATTGCCACTTGTGGATTTCATTTGAACCTTTAAGTTTCACAGAACTTTCCTTTAGGCTTCAGAGCCTTTAGCTAAACTTAATTGAATAATCGCAAGATACCACTCGTCTATTACATTATGGCTGTTTCTGGATTTGTACCCCATCTAACATTGCTGTGTTGACTGCCAGATACGAAAAACCAAAACCATATTTGGAAAAATGGAAACGTACACCTGAACTATGCAAGACAACTCCTTCAGGCAAGGGTAGCAATGTTCGTCTCTTATAAATACTGTTTGAGACATTGAACAACTATGAAATTACAACCAGACTTAACAACTGTGTTAAAAATTGTGTGTTGTCGTTGCTGCTCGCAAGCGTGAAGTGATCTACCTTCAATCCAACCACGCACACATTCCTGTGCCACTCCCTATTCAAATTACCCGCCCTTAACCACTCTACCGTGTCTCATTTACATATCAATGATAAAGCAGATTTATTCTAATTCGTCCCGGTACTCAACCGAATAAATCAATATTTTATGTGAGTTTCGTCATGAAATATACAGGCAGCGTAATTTTTATTCCTAGGAGGGTTAGGGGCAATGTCATGAATAATTCATCTTTATCCATGAGAACGGACAATGACATCAACAGCATTGTTGTTAGTTACTCAACTAGTTACAATACATTAAAGCATTTTAAAGAACGGTTGTCGTCGAGCTACCACACAGTAGCCTAGTGGATAGCGAGATGAGCTATGGATACAAAGATCCCTGGTTCGAATCCACGTCGTCGCTGCTCATTTTCATCAGCTATTTTTCTTCTCCAAATTTATCACTGAGATAATTTTAAATTAAGGGGAAATAGAACGAGAACCTAAGTCTTGCAATGATTCAAAGGAAAAACTGAATTATTCATGACATTGCCCCTAACCCTCCTAGGAAAAAAAATTACGCATACAGGCATGCAGCAAGTGGACATTTCATTAGAGGGCGCTGTTGAAGGTGTCCATATTTTGCGATCAAAAAATAATGTTAACGCGCTGTTTATTGTTCCTCGGTGATACATCCCAAGTCACCGTTAATTCACCTTTGCATGTCCGAATAAAAGAAATGCGATATCCCGTCCGCCATGATGGGATCGAGAGGAGAAGGGGTGTCATAATTTTCTGTCATTCCCACAACCGCCCATATAGCCATTATGCATGATGCAGTGAATTTCATCGGGGAAGCCTGGGCTGCGGGAGAGGGGAGGGGACGAGGAGGCCCGGGGGGCGGGGGCAGGAGAGACTTGGACTAAAGCAGGTGCATTGCTAGTCCGAGTATCGCCCTTGTCCACTCCCTTACCGTAACCAGCTCAGTCTTATATGCATGTGTGCAATGCAAATTTTGTGCGATTTAATGCGACCCCATAAAATGTTTAGTCAAGTTTAGAAATTGTGGGCTTTTGTGGCGTCATTTTGATCAGAAATGCGGACGAAGCTTTTAATTAGTCAATTCACGGCTAGTGCCAAGTTTTGTAACGCAACAACGGGTTTCGGAAGACCCGATCAACTGAAGGAGGGCGCCCGATGAATGTCAGAATCTCCGATCGAGGTCAAGACGCAGTATTTTACATAGTTCATCGCCAAATCTGCGCGAATATCATCATAAGTGGTAAGCAGATATTCCATATAAAGACTTTTCCCTACCAGGTTTAGGGCATAGTATTCACAACAGTATTTGCCGCTTGAGCGCACGGACGACGGAGACGCGAGGATATCGCGGTACCGGATCCAGGTTTAGTTCATTAATTTTGAGGGCAAACAAATGCAAATGAGGAGCTGCAGCCCTCATTTCCCGTCGATCTGCATTTTTGTCAACCTTGATCCACAAACCTTCCATAATAATAGGCCTAATAATAATATTGGCTAAGTTTTATGGTATTTTCCATGTTTTTTTAATATTCCCTTTTACTTTCTCAAACTGGTTTGTAAAGTAAGCACGTTTTGCATTTCGAAGGACATTAGTAAGTATGTTTTTACAGCGTACATACTGGGCACGATTAAAATCAGTAGGACTGGTACACTCTAAAAAAGCATTAGTCAGATTTGACTAGAAACCAGTTAAATATGACTAGCCATTCAGGGTCAGCTGGGTGCAACTGAAAATCAGTCAATCTGACTAGATTTTTCCAGTCAGTATTATTGACTTGGGAAAAATAGTTATGCCAATAACTGAATTTCGAGTCGAACCCAACTACTTTTTCTAGTCACAGTATGAAACTTTGCATGTTTAACTAAATTCCTAGTCAATTTTCAATAACTAGGAAAACCAGTCAATATTTTGACTAAGTTGTTTTTAGAGTGTAATATATTTACGATAAAGTTTATTTTTCACAGAAATTGACTTGCATAAACTAACAGTTATCCAAGGACATTTTGGTGTTAATTGTCTTGATCTACGTTTGTCTTGCTTAAGAGGAATCTGCTTATCAAGATTATTATTGAAAATATCCATGAAACGAGTTGGTATCCTCTGCATTTAAAACAGGGCTCCATTCACTAGAAGAGAGGCCATGCTTAAAGGGAATATACATCATTTGCTTTTGCTGTAATTTTCAGAAATGGATGGAATTGGGGGGTTGGAAATATATAGCAAATATAGTTACACTGACCTTTTTGAGGTTTTGGGTTCGAAAACGCTATAAAAACCAAGAAAAACAATCATTTTCCTGTAGTCTGGTTCCCTGACTCCATATAAGAAGAAACAGAGCAGTTTACATACATTGGGGAATTGTAAGGTCAGGGAACCAGTCTAGCTGGCTCGTGCCCGTTCATAGGTTTGTAATCGATTGCAAACAAGTGCGATGGTCAATTGTGGCCAGTATTTGAAAAAAAGCCAGTTTTTTCCAACGCTGATCGGCCGATCAGCGTTGGAAATTGATACAAAAATACCACTTTTCTTGAAAATGACAGTATACCAGGTGCCATGATTTTACAGGATGCTTTACACTGTCATTCACTAACAGTCCAGCAAGGTATTTCAAAATGATTTGGTAGTTTTATTTTTTGATGTTTGCAAATGTTGTATTTTCCCTTTAAAACTTGCCACATTTTCTGATGCAAAGTCTCGGGCTGGAATATATTGATGATGAACACGGTTCACTTTAAAGGGGGTATGAAGTAAATACTGGAAAGTGATCAGATAAATCAGTAACAATGATACCAGATTTAGGTAAGGGGAGTATGTTAGTAAATATATTGTCAATTAAGGTGGCTGATGAAGATGTTACCCTGGTTGGCTTATGAATTAGTGGCAAGCATGATGAAGTATAAGTTATGTCCAAACATTCTTGTGATTGCATATTATTTGAGTTGAGCAGGTTTAGATTAAAGTCACCCGAGACAAAACATTATTATTGAATGAGGCGTATTCTGGAGCCAGCAAAACAAAAACAAAAAAACACCACAGCTGGGACCGAGTCGAGGTTTAAAAACACAAGCAAGGTTTAACAGTCAGGACCAACATCCAGTGAATTATTAACCGCTATGTAATCACATCTGACGTCTGGGTGCTTTTTCCGTGCTTTGCATGCATGTTTGACAACAGACGATTTTCGGTAAGTCCGACACATTTTCAATCCATTTTATCTTAAATGCAGTGAGGTTTATCGTTCATTCTCTTAGTAAAAAATAACAAACAGATGATTATTGAAGTAGGACAGTGCAAGGTTCGAGTCCTATCTCCATGGTTGTATAATGTCACGTTGTGTTTTGGTTTTACTATCCATGCATTTATAATTACGTACGTCATGTACGTGTATGTAATATTGTACATGTAAGTGTATCGTCAGACCTCCTTTAAGTTAAAGCTACGCGCTCCCGAGTCCTATTTCTACGCAATCGTGTTAGTGCTTATTTTGAAAAAATTCCATACTCGATCGCCACTTTTTTCAATTAATTTTCAAGCGCCAAAAGCTACATCTTTTATGGTTATTCCTCCACTTTCCCTCCTCTACTCTCACCCTCTCCTTTCCTTTACTTCTATTTATCAATCAGTCACTTACTTCATCGAGATTCGAACCACAGACTCTTGCTTGACACACGATTCTCTTAACCGCTAGGCCACGCACGATTGCTGTTGCAATGATGAATCTTTGGACGTATTTGAAGTAGCCATTGAAATAAACTAAATATTCATGAGAAAACAAATATTCATAATGACGTATTGCACTATCGTTAGCCGGCTCATTATTATTATTATTATTATTATTTATTCGGCCAAATTACAAGGTACAACAAGCAATTCACAAAAGTAAACAAAACTAAACAAAAACAATCCAATCCAAGCTGGCCAGGATTGACAAAAGTATAATAAAACACTGTGACTCGAAAGCCTGTCAATCCTAACTTGAATGGTACATGTAACATACAAAATATATTAAAAATTAGGTATAAAATTCAATGAAAAATAAGACCACCTTAAAAATAATACTTAAAAAGATAAATAGATTTAAAAGATTACAGTTACAACAGTTTTCTCAAAGGCAAGAATAAACCTAACAACTGCAGATTATACAAGACTGGGGAAAAACAGACAAACAAGCCAAAACAAAACTAACAAACAAACAAACACCCCAACAAACAAAGAAACAAAACAAGACAGGATAAGACTAAACAAAATGTCACAAAACAAGTCAAGACAAGAGACAAGACAAGAGACAAGACAAGACGAAACAAAACAAAAAACAAACAAACAAGACAAGACAAGACAACAACAACCACACAACAACATCAAAACACAGAATGCAAGATTGATACAGTAAACAAAATAATTAAAAATGAAATAATTTAAAATGAAATAAAAAATAAATAATGAGCAATAAAAACCTGATAGAGAAAAGTAAAAAATACAGTTGACATGCGAGAAAAACTACGTCATGGTTGTCGACGTCATGCGTATGACGTACCGCTGTCTGTCAGCCACTTAATCAGTTTTGACCGGCTGCTTCAACTTAGTTCTGCACGACGTGTGCATCCAAAATGGGCTCTAAAAACACATTTTGCCTAATTTTTTTTCGCATTAACACAGCTTCCTGGATTCCTCTTGGGTGAAATCACAAGGTAAGGTGAAAATTGATGTGTTTAGCGGCAGGTAAAGTTGTGGCCCAGTATGGACATTTTCCCTAAATTAACAATTAGGCCTATCTATTGAGGATTCAACAATTATATTAAAATTAATCTTGAAATGAAAAGTGTATTGGCATTGAAAAAAAAAAAAGGAAAAAGATAGAAAATGTTTGAAAGCTCAAGGAAATATATTTTCCTAAAACCAAGTAGTCTAACTCATTAAAAAAAAATATTATATTGAGTTACATGGCCCGGACAGCACAGATTTTTCATGAAGCGTCCCCTGCATAGAATTAGGCAGGATTTTTTTCTACAACGCCAAAACTGCATGCTTTGGAAATCCAGCTTGCTGCCACAAATAAAGAGATTTTGCTTTGTTAATCGGTATGGTGGCTGATCGTAAGCCAACAACGTAAGTTTTGTTGAGGAAAAGAGTGGTTGCTTTGCTATTTTTAAGCTACATGTATGTGCTTGATAGTAATATATCTGGGGATAAGGGGATGGATATATTCGTATACCGACGTCACTTGTCTGCCATCAAACACATCAATTTTCACCGCACCTTGTCTTGTGATTCATTGAACTTTGAAGACAAATCCAGGCCTGCTCCACAAAAAAATAAATCATCTCGGGAAAAAGATGTTTTTTAGAGCTAAACGATATCACGTGCCAACATTGTCATTGTGACTTCGTATTCGCGAGATGGGAATCAGACCATTTGCAATTTCCGACTATGTGTCCCGGAAAGTTTTCCATACTAGCACTAGGCCTCCACTTTATCTCCCCGCCAAATGCATACATTTTCACCTAACCTTGTGATTTCACCCAAGACAAATCCAGGAAGCTCTGGCAATGTGAATAATTTTTAGGAAAAATATGCTTTTAGAGCACGTCATTTTGGATGCACACACCGTGCATAGCTAAGTTGGAGGCAGCTGGCCATATTGAGTGAAGTGTCTGAAAAGACGGCCGACATATATTTTGTTTTTGCAGCATAGATCGTATTTTAACCAATCACATCACGCATCCTAACGTGAATATTTATCACTCAGTGTGGATGGAAGACACTTAGGTTCTTGTAGTGTTTTCCCTTCAATTAAACTTATCCCAACCAACAAAAATATTTGATGAAAACGGGCATGAGCTCGAACCACAGATCTTGCAATCCATAGTTCACTCCACAATCCACTAGGCCACTGTGGCAGCTCAACGAAAGCCGTTCTTTGAAATGCTTTAAAGAGGTTAGGGAATGCTCGAAAACATTTCCGTCATTTTTTGGGTATATGTAGCCTAAGGTGTGATGAAATAAAAATGACTATTGTTTCTGTCATGAAATGAGTACAAAAGGTACTTTTGAGAGCTATTTTTCAGGTCCTGTTTCGACCCGAACGTGCAATTTGTGTAAAAGTCGTCGTTGCGGGCAGCAAACAAAACACAGTCAATCGTGATGTAATAAACAGGACTCGTTTATGCTACTCTGCATCGGGAGTCCTGTTTATTACGTCACGATTTACTGTGTTTTGTTTGCTGCCCACAACAACGACTTTTACACAAATTTCACGTTTGGGTTGAAACAGGCATGACAGGACTTGAAAAACAGCTCTCAAAAGTACCTTTTGTACTCATCTTATGACAGAAACAATAGTCTTTTTATTTCATCACACCTTAGGCTACATATACCCGAAGAATGACGGAAATGTCTTCGAGCATTCCACAACCTCTTTAATGTGCATGACTGAGTGAAAGCAATGGTGTGACCACATTGTTATTTTCTTACGAATAAACAAAACATCGAGCTAGCTGAATAATCATGATTCATTACCGATACATGTGTGTGCTGCAAATAAAAACACTGCAAACAGCCGTACATTACACATGACATCGACAATACATGAGCCGGCCAATGACAGTGCAATACACAATTATGAATATTTAATTTCTTGTGATTATTTAGTTTCGTTTGATAGTCTTATTTCAATGGATACTCTAAATACGTCCAAAGATTGATTATTACAACAAGTGACCGTGCGTGGCCTGGTGGTAAAAGTGTTGTGTTTCAAAGAAGAGTCCGAGTTTCGAATCTCAGTGAAGTAAGTGACAGATTAATAAATAGGAATAAAGGAAAGGAGAGGGTAAGAGTAGAGAAGGGAAAGTGGAGGGAATCACCATACAGGATGCAACTGTTTGGCGCTTGAAAATTAATTGAAAAAAAATGGAGGCCTAGTATGGAAAAGTTACCGGAGTAACTGGACAATACGGACGATATAAAAGAAGAATATTTTTTGAAAATGCGAAAATGTAAAATTTACGAGTCAGGCGCGCGCTATCCACTGGATCACATGTGCTCCTTCAACGATAGTGATAATTTAATATCGCATAATGTAGGCCTACTTTTATACGCATCAAAGAGGGAGATGCATGATCTGCCAGCTTAAAGGAACTTTAAACGGCAGCTTAAACTGCCCATCTCATCCAAACAGAACTGGCAAACTGTCCCAGGTATTTCATGATTATTCAATTACTTTCTCTTGGTAGGTCTAGGTCTGGTTTGTTGGTTTACATTCTTGAGCGGTACATTCTAACAAGGCAATGGAAGGGGACGACTTTGACTGGAAACCTCCCAGTGAGGCGGAGATGAAGGTTCTTCAAGCTCGGCGGGAGCGCTCCGATAAGATCTCCAAGCTGATGGGCGACTATCTCCTCAAAGGGTACCGGATGCTGGGGTCTTGCTGCGCAGTGTGTGGGGTAAGAAGCATGCTGACAACTACATACAGGGTGGGGAAAAAAAAAAAAAAATGCAACCTTTACACATTGGCCTTTAAAAAACCCAAAAAGAATGGGTTGATTTCTATGTTTTGGGTATCAGATTAACGCTGAGAGTTTTTCTTTCAAAAACTAAAAAACAAATGGAAATAGCACCTTTGGTTGCTGAGAATATGCCAGTTATGTAAAAGTAATAATTTTTCATCCTGTACACAAGTACTTCAAACAGTGAAACATTTTACTGTAAGCCTACTGTGCAATAATCCTTCATCTGTGCAATTTCTTTAATATTTTGACGTGATGTTGAAAAGGTTTAAAATGGGACTACAAAGGATGAGATAGGTACAGTGAAAATCCCTTTACACTGTGGTACCCCGGTACATGTAATTGTTTGTGTACAGGATGAAAAACAACTACTTTTACATAACTGGCATTTTCTTTGCAAGTTAGCAACCCAAAGTACTATATTCATGATTATTTTTCAGTATTTGAAAGCAAATGCTCTCAGCTTTAATCTGATACCAAAAACTTAAAAATCTACCGATCCATTTTTTTTTAAAGGCAAATGTTTTAGGATTGCTTTTGTTTGGGGGGGGGGGGGGTCACCCTGTATATTTACATTCTTTTGGTCTTGGTCTAGAGGTATTTAGGACACCATTTCCAAACATTCCAAAATGAATTACTGTCAAAATATCATGAGATATCTTACTTCATTGTGAAAGCCTTGTTCCTAGTATGCTGTCATTTTCAAAGGAAAGATGAATTACCATCACTTCCTCGTGATGGGTTAGAACCAAACCATCGCGCTTTCAACGCAAACCTTTGATTTGCGTCGAGAAAAATGAAGATGCATTTTGACAGTTGATGATCTGTACTGAGCTTAAATTTGGACAGGATATTTTTTAAATTAACCTGCTTCAAATTGATTGCATTGTTAACCCTAACTCCCTAGGTAATTTTGCCAGGATGCAACCTCAATCCTGCAAAATCCTCCAACTGCCACCATGTAAACATAGCATATAGCCTCAATTCTGCAAAATCCTCTGTTGTTTCTTGAACATGGCTCTAAGAGGGGTGACCACTGCCTCAATCCTGCAAAATCCTCCGGCTGTGTGGAGGCAGAGGCAGTGACATCCTGGAGCAGTGCGGAGGATTTCAAGTATAATTAAGGACTAGATTTATGCACGGCTGAGCATAAACAACACAAGGTCCGGCCCAAGACCTTTGCACAGTGCGTCCTTCGAAATCAGCAACACGTTTTTGCCATGTAACCTCAATCCTGCAAATTCCTCCAATTTGCTAAAAGGATGTTGGAGGATTTGGAATGGTGACTGGTTAAAGTTGGCAGTTTTGGCAAATTGTGTCCATTGCCTTTAAACCTTGATCTACTGCATAATATTTGCCAGAAGTGGCTTTCCCATTTGTTTGCACCGCCCTCTAATATCTTCCACAGCAGTACCAAGTCTTACAAAACGTGTTTCCAGAACTCACCGGCAATCAACAGACCAAAGTAAATAAGTCTGTTGTGAGCTCCCCAAGCATCATATAGACGTCAATATATTGTTTATCCATGCAGTCTGACATTTAAAAACTTCTTTTTTTCATTGTTCCTTTTTATTTTTAACAAAATGCACAAGCAACAACTGATATACTAAATTACAAATATAAATATTAATACAATTTGAAATTTACAGTTTTTCCCACAACACGTCATGGCAGGATGGATAGTCATTTAAAAAAAAAAAAAAAAAAACCCAGATGTGAGTAATTTAAAAAAAATTCCTGAGGGAGATATTTATTATTCATGGGATTGTGTGGAAATGTCTTCCCCGAGTTAAAATGTCACAGGAAATGGTGTGACATTTGGTCTCCAACTCCGATCAACGATTAATTACAGTTTCATAACATGGAAATTGGAGTAGAAACAAAGGGCAAGGTATTACCACTGAGAAAAACATCAGGCAGTTTACATGTACAAATTCGGCATTAAAAACTTTGGCAGTTACAAATTTACACAAATTTGGACACGGTTGCAAATTACGCGTTTGACCGGATGGTACAAAATAAGGACAACATTTTTGTTAAAAACAAGCTCTGCACAGACTACAGCCTGACCACAAATAGCCAATTTGCAATTGAGGATCATAAACCATCATTCATCGATACCTACAAGTAAGACAGTTTACGCATTCGGTCGGTTTTAAACGGTTGGTACTAAAGACCGACTGGCTGGGCTTAAACACTTTTATGTAACACAAAATTGGGACTCCTATGAAATCTGGTGCCAGTACCGTTTCATTGTTTGAACTGTCACAGTCCTTACGTACATGTACGCATGCGCAGTACTACCAGTGAGTAAGTATTTCAAAGTCCTAAATTCTCACTACACCGGCACAGCAGCGTTCTGCGCGAAACACGAGCCGATCTCCGTATAAGGAGTTGGTTACGACTACTCGCGAGAGGGCTGTACCATACATACCTAGAGAGGTGTTTAGAAAAGCATGAAGTAAAATTGTTAAACAAAATCGTTGGAAATTTATACCTTTTGACTTGTTTTGACTTTCGGACCAAAAAGTTTTGATTCTTTTGCCTTCAGCATGGTTAAGTATCAGCATCCAGACTCCAACCGGTCTTAAACATAGTTTCTAAAACCGGCCAAGGACACACTAATTCCCTTAACAAAACGTTGATTTTTCTTGAAGTTTGTCACAGTTGAATGAATCAGGCCTATTTCATGGCTGTGCTTAACATTTTTGCAGAAAAAAAAATGTGCGTTAACTATACATAGCAGCAAATTCACTAAACTTTTGAATGAGACATCGACCAAAAAACAATCGGCCCATTTCAAAGTTTTTTAACTTATTGGCTGCAAGACAATAATTCCCATTCTCGCAGGGTTGGCTGGTCCCCGTCCCATAATCAGCATCAATAATGTACGGACAGGGAGCCAGTCTGCTCGCAAAGCGGATCTGTTTTGTGTTCAAAACAAACACCTTTTTTTTTCAAAGGTTTACAGATGTCAAAAAAGGGGGAAAAATGGAGGCCTTTTTTGGCTGGAATAAAACACAAAAGTTGGAAAGTTACATTGTATTAGTAGAAACAACAAATTGAATATCTGAGGAGCATGGGCAATGCCACTTTTAAGCACTGTTTCACAGCATGGATGCGTAGCTGTGTGCAACAGTAATAGCAGTGTTGTAGTCGAGTACTTTTTTCCCGAGTACCGAGTACTGCCGAGTACTTAGGTTGCCAAGTACGAGTACGAGTACTTGTACCTTCGAGTACAAGAACGGATCTCCGAGTAGGAGTACTTGTACTTCCGAGTATGAGTATGACTACTTCCGAGTATGAGTATGACTACTTCCGAGTATGAGTACGAGTACTTCCGAGTATGAGTACGAGTACTTCCGAGTACGAGTACTCGCATTTACGAATACAGCCATACGGCAAATGGTTATTGTGCGTAATTGGCCCAGGCCCAGTCAGACCGATATACAGACCCACTCACAGCTAGCTGTTAAATGTGTTTGTCCTGACTTGCACAGAGGAAAATCAAGAAATCTCGATTTCTCAACAAGCCAATCAACAATTTCCAACTGAAATAATCAATAAAATACGGCCATGGTAAGTGAAGCTATAACATTTTTTCCCCCGAGTACTGCTATTCGAGTACGCGTACTTTAATGATCGAGTACGAGTTCGGGGTACGAGTACTTTGCTGCTAGAGTACAAGTACCATCATTTCGAGTATAAGTACTTTGACATTCGAGTACAAGTACGAGTACGAGTACTCCAAAAAAGTACTCGAGTAATACTCGAGTACGAGTACTGAGTAGGAGTACTACAACACTGAATAGTAGCTGATATTCATGAATTGTTGCTTTACTTTGAAATTTTTTTTTTTTTTGGCAGACAATTCTACTCCGTGATCGGCAGCAGCAGGATTACTGCGTCTGCTGCAACGAGCTAGAAACTGACCTGGCAAAGGATGACCCAGGTAACATTGTCCACCTGTTCACATGGGATCAAATAACAAGGGACAGGGGTAAACTTAACATGGGACCCTTGTGGAACCCAGGTGATTCCATGTATGAAAAGCAAGGAACACTGGAAAAACCGGGTCAATTTGTTCTTTCTTTCCCCCATCCCCCTCCCAAAAAATGTGAATAATAATGTATTAACAAACCACAGAGTCACTGTCGGCCTCAAAATATACGTCCTGTGTACAGTAAAAGGGCCTGGAAAAAGTTTAAAGGGAATGTACAACATTTGCTTTTGCTGCAATTTTCAGAAATGAATGGATTTGGAGGATTAGCATGTTATAGCAAATATTGTTAAAATGAATTTTTTCATGTTTTGGGTTCGTAGATGCTGGAAAAACCAAGAAAACCAATCATGTTCTTGCAGTCTTGTTCCCTGACCCCACTTAAGATGAAACGGAGCAATTTATAGACTTTGGGGAATTGTAAGGTCAGAGAAACAGTCTAGCAGACTTGTACCCCTTCACATGTGTGTAATTAATTGCAAAGAAAATTCGGAATAAATAATTATGAAAATTCAGAGCAGTTTTTGAAAAACAGCCAGTTTTCTCCAAAACTGGTCGGCCGACCAGCGTTGGAAAAATACAATTTTTCTTGAAAACGTCAGCACACCAGGAGCCACGATTTTACAGTATGCTTTAGACTGTCATTCCTTCAAAATCCAGTTAGGTGTTTCGTGATGATTTGATAATTTTGTTTTGTGATGCTTGCAAATGTTGTATGTTCCCTTTAATATCAGGAAGCCCAAGGTCAGCTGTGTACCTGGTATCATTATTTGTGCCACAAACGTTGACACTGGATACGGAATAAAAGATGAATTTACTTTTAAAAAAAGAAGACAGTTGATCTGTTTTAAATTCTCCCTATTATAACTTCCGGGTTGATGACGTCACGATGCTGAAACTGTGCAAAGTCGTTTGCAGTTGTCCAAAGAATATCTTTGGGCAATGCAATGAAAATTTTGACGAATGGTTTTTAAATTAAAAAAATGTTCAACTGTCTTTGATGTGGCCCTAGGGGGCACCCTTTCAGGTGATGACATCATCATGCGGGTTTTTTTTTTTGGGGGGGGGGGGTTGCCCATCCCTTGCCAAACAATTCCATTATTTGTTTGATTGTAGTAAAATGCTTCCGTTTCCAAGTTACATTCTATTCACATTGCACTTCCGGTAACACCGGAAGTAAAGGTCAAAAGGCTGTGAGTTCGGGAATCTAAAAAGTGTAGGCAATGTCTAACTGATCACACATAAATGAGGATGGTGCTCCGTTCATTGGAAAAAATAAATCATTTTACAGTTTTTGCCATTAAATTGCTTGTAATTTGATACCTGATGACATCAACATAACATTTTTCACATCTTCGGACCAGGGTTCAAGTTCATACAAGGTTTTTTTTCTTCATCCCATAAACCGTTTGGAAGATAATTTGCTTTGTTTGATTTGAGGCTTATTATGCCTATATTTTGAATTCACCTAACATTGACCTTTCGTTAGCCCTGTAAGTAAAGGCCTAGCGACTGCAATAACATGACAACAATTGTTTATCAATTATCTATCTGATTACGAAGTATGAACATGATTGATCATTTTATGCAAGAGTTACAGATGAAAGAAGTTGGTCATTTTTTTCATCTTTAATCGCTTATAATAGGATACTTCGTCGAGTTTAAATGAACACCTTGTCATCAGGGTTTATCTTTGTTCATTTATGTTTTTTCTTGTTTATACCATGTACCGTTCAGAAGAAAAATCCTTTTTTTTTTTTTTTGCTTTTTATGGGGGGGGGGGGGCGGGCAAGTGCCTGAATTTAAGTATTAAACCAATCAACTTGACAAGTACGCTATCTTTATTAATGAGACTTGAGGGCTTATTGGCCCTCCAAATGTCAGAGTTTTTTTTTTCGATTACATGTATTTTTTTTTTCAAAGCTTTTTTCATCAACAATTCGGCGTTGCAAAAGTTTGTCTTTATCCATGGAATAAAGAAAAGAAAAAAGTTTGAGAATATTTTATTAATCTATCCCTCTATGTTTGTTTTTAGTCCTTGTATTTGTGTTTGTCAGATTGTTAGTCTGTCTCTGTATTCGATAAGGTACATGTATGTCATTTGTTTTGTCATCTCCATATAAGGACTCCCCCCCCCCCGGCTTCAGAAGAAACCTCCATAATTGCCTATCGATTTATTGTTCTTTCTTCCTTAAAACCTAACTTACTAATATAGGCTTTTGGAAAATGTGCATTCGAATTTGTAAAACATAAATTCAATTTGGTGCTGATTTTGAGAACGACATATATCCTGGTTTCATTTTCGCAATGACTAGCATTCGATTTCATTTTGCATCATTCAAACACATGAATGTGCATAACGTTTCATTTATGGGTCATGGTCATTCCACCGGGTTGGGGAACAGTGTCTGACATATGACCATATTAAGAAAAGCATGAATGCATTGCTAGCAGTTGCTCTACATAATATTTGTTGTTGGGTGTTTCACTAACTGCAGAAAGTTTGAAATGATTTCAATGTATTTTGCCAAAATGTGAGCAAAAAAAGTGTCATTTTGGATGTAACATTGACACAGTGTCAGTGTTACGTCCAAATGTGACATTTGTACCTTTTTAAAAAATTTCTGCGAAACATCAACCAAATTCACTTTGCGTACTTCTTACTATACATGCAACACAATAAGAAAAGCTTTTGTTATGGTAGTCAGGTATCAAATGGAGCAGAAATGATAGCTTGGTTGTGTGGATGTAACATTGACACGGTGTAAAACCCAAATGTCACCCTTCCATTGAGTGATTTTTACACCGTTACATCCACACTTGAGGTATTGTTTCTGCTACATTTGAACCCTGACTATGCCAAAACAAAAGCTTTTCTTGGTGCTTAGGTGTCCAGTTGTAAATATGCAATGTCAGTTTAAGTAATATTTTACATACGTGTAAAAAATGGCAAAAAAAGAATATTTGGATGTAACATTGACACGGTGTCAGTGTTACATCCGAATTAATACATTTTTGCTCATGTTTTTGTCAAAGTACTTTCAAATGATTTCAACTGAATTTACGACTGAATGCACCTTCATGGAAATAGAACTATCGTTTGTTAAATAGAAACAGGGATTTGGAACGTTCATTCTATGTCACACGAAAACTAATGCTTCTTTTACAAATTCATGTACACATTTTCCAAAATTGTCTGGGAAAACCTATAGTAAAAGTATTATTTGTTTCTTCAGTTTGTTATACTGTTTTATAAAAGTTTTGGCATTATGGAAATAACTGTTGATCGAATTGAAGTGAATCAAATCGAGTTGAAATCGAAGCAGTTGTTATTCACGGCATTATGGACAACGGAAAGTTCAGCGTGTGACAAATAATTGCATCAAGGTTGAAAATGTCACATGCATAAGGGTCTTTCATAGGCACTTTGTAAACAAAATAGAAGTTCACATTTACATACACAAAAGGGTTCATTGGAGAATAGGTCCGTCGCAAGAGTTGTGAAAGAAATCTGCCTGTGAGCACTGAATCAGTCCACATTGAGATTGCTAGTCGAATCATAAAAACAGAAACAAAATGTGCTGAGAATGACGTGTCTGTATTTCAGTTTCTGTCATGAATGGAAATTGCAGGTAATTTTTATAAGGCTGAGACATAAAAGGGGAAAATCCTTAGAATTGTCTGGCATATGGAACCGGCTTTCCTAAGGCAAAAAAAAAAAAACCTGCAGCTTCCGGTTTCCCTACCTATCCTATTCTGACAGCCCCTACCCTAATTTTTATATCGGCAAAATGAGGGGAAACCCCATAACCATCCATTTCTCCCTTTTACCGTTGCCTACATGCAGACGCCTCCATATTTCTTACACACACAAAAAGATTGGGCCCCCCCCCAAAAAAATCCCTACCTACCTACCCTATTTTCCAATGCCATGTAAGCAGAAGCAGAATTATTTTTTTGCCTAAAGCCAAGACATAAAGGGGAAATCTGGAGAATTATCTGGAGTATGGTACCAGATTTTGCACTACCAAAGGTTTCTAAACCTGTTTCACTTTTACTTTTACTATAGATTGATTGCGTTCAGCTGTTATCTTTGAAATGTGTATTAGGTCTTTTCATGTGTATCCTTTTTGAACAAAAGTACACACCTTAAGGATGCCTGCTATGCATGTGCAAACAATCTCACACTTTCACTTCATACATCCATAACTTTCATTTCCTTCTACGTGTAACCCAACGTGTAACCGCATCAGTCTCATATTGTTACCCCGCAGCCGTCAGCGCCAAAGCTGCAAGATCTCAGGTTGAGGAGCATGAACTGAGCGTCTCGGCAGCCGCTCACAACGGCCCGTCCTCCAAGGCATCGAGCAACGGTGACACCCCTCATGCAACCCCAACGGGTAAACGCCCCAGGCACACATTACACTCCCAGAAACCCCCGGGGTCCCACGGGAGGGGCAAGGAGGCATCCTCCCGCACTCGGCACCAATACGAGAACCAGCCGTACGCCGCGGGGCACACGTGCCCCCTGCACCCGTCCCATAACCACGCCCCGAAGCAGGTGCTGGATTTACCCCCCGGATCGCCAGACATTGTTCCTGAGTCCATGGAGGCGGTCATGAGCAAGATGTACTGGGCTTGCCAGCAGTTGAAGGGCACGGCCTCGGTGGAAGGAAGCACCCAGCTCTGCCTGCTGATCAAGTCATGCGCTGATGCCATGACGTCACTCAGATACCTAGTTCCTGGGGAACTTACCGACTGATACTAGACTTTCTTAGAAGACTGTGTACCTAAAGCAATAACAGGGTCAAAAACACACTGTCTGTTTGTTTGTTTGTTTACTTTTGTAGAAAAAGCCGGTTTAACACAACAGCAGGCTTGCCCCTGTTTTATGAGAAATATACACAGACAAAATAGTACTTGTTTGTCCCTTTTTAGCTGCAAGTAGCACCTCAACAAATCATCGTGTCACTCCGTTAGTTAGTTTGTTAGTCACAAACGTTGACATTGTCTATTGCTCCCACATACTTTGACCAGCCCCAACATGTCACATGACCAAACTGGGTCAAAGGTCATCATGGGGTCAGGGTAATCATTACGCCAAATTTCAAATCAGCTGAAAATGTCAAACGTAGCGCTGTCAACATGTTGGCCTTGGTCAAACATTAAAAAATGACCATGGTGACCTCTTCGTCTGACCTACAGTTATGGGGTCAAAGGTCAAAATAAGGTGAACACGCATTCGTTGGCCCGCACTTTCGAGATCCGATTGGGCCTGTTTAAAACTAAATAAAGACTGTTGAAGTATTGGGTAATCTTGTCTGTTATATTTTTTCATTGGTTCATCACTGTTCTCCTTTTTTTTTTTTTTTTATTACAACTAATTTAAAATTGTCATAAGACCCTGCCTCGTATCATTATATGGAACGATTGTTGAGTACTAGACCCTATGCCATAGCTCCAGTGATCATTAGTGAAACTCTCCGCTTACTGTAGCAGAAAATGCTGCACGTTCACAGTTCGCATATTTTGTGGTTAGCTAGGAATTTTGGTATACGCATACATCCAGTAACTAAAGATTCTGTGTTTGCAGGGTTTTAGCAAATAGTTATTTAGCAAGAGCTGTTAGCACAGAATTGTGATTAAAAGTGAGGAATTCTATAGGCTGGGGGTATAAACCTCCGCGAAATAGCTGCTGCATTGTATGTGACCAATGGCTTCACCAATTTAGTGTGATTTTTTTTTTGGTGAAATTTGTTTTTTTTTGGGGGGGGCGTCTTGTCTCTGAACTCAGCTTCACAAATCTTTTGCAGTGAATAACAAAGTGAGTTTATATTCTGCTTTGGGAAAAGCATAGCATTTAATCCATTCCATGTGATTGTAAATGATTCTGGACAAGTCACGATGCCGAAGCTGGCAATATAAAAACCAAGTTTCAAAAATGCCCTTGGTTCCCAATTCACCTTCAAATTGTTGGTCAAACAGAGCCGTGACATTGGTCGCTGGTTACTCATGAAAGAGCTCAAATGAAATCGGCGGTGACTAGCGCCCTCAGATGTGGCGTTTGGTTCTAGAGACTTTGCAAGTTCTGTTAAATAGCTGCTGCTTATACTGCGTGGATCGAGTGTGCGTATACTACGTTGTATGTGACCAATGGCTTGTCATAAACAATGACAAAGTGACGTGTCAATTTTGCCGGTACTTTCAACTTTTTTGATCATGTGTGTCAGACAAACGTCAGTGATCTCTGTCACATTGGTTAATGCGTTTCTTAATTTTTTTATTAATTATCAAGTTATCACAGCCAACAGGCTGAATTGCGGTGCAATGTACAACTAAAAGCAATTGTTTTGAAAGTTATCACAAAAAGGTAAATTAAAGAAAGAAAAACTTAAAATATGTATCATTTCCAGAATTATTTATTTCTCAAGAATCTGTTTCTTGCTATTCAAAATGCACCATGTTCTGTTGTTCAGAAAGGAATTGGAACATTCAGGTTTTGAGACAGTTCTGAAAGTAGTCTGTTGATCCTGGGTTTGTAAATAATGCCATGGTCCAAAATATCAAACTCATAAATGTTCAGATTCTTTCACAGAAAACCGTGAGCCTACCAAATTGAAATTGTGGAGAACATGGTTAAGTCATAAATTGAATGAAAGAGTTTACTAAAGTAGAAGGGTTTACCAGCGTAAATGGCAGGGTTCAACCTTAACTTTTTTGTTCACTAGCAAGCTGGGCTACTGAAATAGACTCTTAACTAGCCTAATTTTGTGGCTCGCCAGAAGGGCTACTTAACTGAGGAATAGTCTGACTAGCCTATCTGTTTAGATAAAAGCAATGAAATGGAAAAACATTGTTTGAAGACAAAACAAAACAAATCTCCTACTTGCTGTGTATACTTTTTGTGGATAAACTGAGAATAAACACAATCCTTTTTTTTATGCAGATTTTGCTTGCCCGTGTCAGTTTGTGCATTTTCCCTCTACCTCACAATCTCTACCTCAAACAATTCACGCACATCCCTATGTGATTTGTTTTCGTGTTGCTGAAAGAACACTGAACTTTTTGAATAGATTTTGAAAGTGCTACATGCAGAACTTCACTAAAACAATAGTCCCGACATTTGGGTTTCGTTTTTTTTGTAACTCACCCGGCCTGTATACGTTTACAGGCATGTTATTATAAGCTTTGGTTTTTGTCATCATGCCTCCATCAGTACATCTTTATTTTGTATTCTAAAAAAAAAAAGGGTCCATGAGTCAAATTTAATCATTTTTCAATTTTCAATTTCAATTTCAATTTATTGGTCCTTCCAGGAAATTTGGCCACATTTTACTAGTATAACTATTTTCAGCTACTGCGTGTGTATCAAATTGCCATACTGAACCAGTGTGGAATAAGATTGTCATAACACATTTAAAAGTTTCATTCTTAATTCTAACCTCCTTCCCGGGTTTTCGTCTTCTATGCACTACTACTTATTATTATTATTTTTTATATATTCATGATATGGTATAAAGCATTTGTCTGGATAGTTCATGTGTCTTAGCGTAATCCCTAGTCGACGCTTAATGTGATTCCAGTTCAATCCATCTTGGCATTTAGTATAATCCCATTTAATTAAGAATTGGGGGTGTGGTACATGTCAATGAATTCGTTGACATTTTGGCATTGAGGCCGCGAGGCTCAACTGACGTCAAGGGAAAGTTTGTGTTCACTGCCACATCTTTTTTTTTTTCACAGATACTGGAATTTGTATCCTTGTGGAGTCATTTCTTTGTTTTCGTGTACTAAAGTTCTCGAGTTTTGAAGGTGTACTTTCAAAATGCTCCTATTTGAACCAGAATTAATTGCCTGGGCTGAAATTTGGACCTAATATCCCTTACATAAAAATACTTCAATTTGTGACTCAGATCAACCCACCTTGGAAATTCCTAGTTTTTGAGTAAAATCCATATATCTATTTCGTGATAACTTTGTGGAGACGTATTCACCTATAGAAATCGCTCTGTGGAGACGTATACAATCTTTTGTTCCCTATTGTGCACACTGTCTCCAGAGGGTACCGTGTACTCAGCTTCAAAATTCTTTTGCACTTAATAACAAAGTGAGTTCATATTCTGCTTTGGGAAAAGCATAGCATTTGATCCACTCCGTTTGAAAAATGATTCTGTGCCAGTCATGATGCCGAAGCTGGCAATATAAAAACCAAGTTTCAAAAATGCCCTTGGTTCTACCTCCATGATAATACCTTCAAATTGTGGGTGCTGGATTGTTGGGATATTTATCGTGACTTGTTGTGGCAAATTCTTGCAGGTCAATGGTCATCACTGCTTTGTGGGGAGTGTTTTACAGAGTGTTCAAATAAATAGACTGTTGAATCCTCATGACCACAAACACATCAATAAAACAAGCATACAACTGTCCATGTGCTCATTTTTACAAGTAACAGGCCTGAGACCTAATGACGTCACGCTTTGTTTACATGTGCGCTTTCCAATGTGGCGTCTTGACCGCTCCCATAGGAAAGTGCATAATGTAAACAAAGCCATTACGTCATTAGGTCTTATTTCTATTGTTTATTTCATTTCTCTGAAAAATAAATAGTTTTTGGTACAACTTGTTTTACATTCAATGATGCTGTTATTTACAAAATGGTAAATATTAGTTTGAAAAATGGAATAAGAAGTACAAAATATTCGAAATGATAAGCTTAAACATAAACGATTGGTAGTAGCATTTAATTGGTCAGTTGGTGTATGTAAAGAGCCAGAGCCAGTGATTTCCTATTTTGAAGGGAAATGGTCATTATCAATAGAACTGTTCATTTCAAATGAATTTCAGGTTTGGGAGTAAACCAAATATGCTGTACACTAAACAGTGAGATGCCAAACTTCAGAAATAAAACATACTTTACAACTTTGGCATTTCAAAAGATATTTTACAGCATGTGACAATTTGGTTTAAGAAATTTCCATGGGAAGAATTGTTCAATAGAAAATATACATTCATCCATTCTTTAGTTGACATGAACTACATGTTGCATTACTATTTGGGTGAAATAGATTCTTTCACACACTCTACCAACTGGTGTGACGTTCTATAGGCTTATCATAAACAAACAATTTATACACTTTTTTGAAACAGAAATTTGGCTCTTCAATGGGTATTTCTCAGATTTACAGAACTTGAAATGTGACAGAAATACCCAGACTTCAGAAAAAACAGTCAAAAAGTTTGGTCTCATTCAATGTAGTGAAATAAATATTTTATTAATTTTGGCAAAATATGGGCAAACAATTGGAAAATCTGAATTTGAAGTAGTAACCACAATGCTGATAAATTAAAAACAGATGAGTACATGTTGTTGTGGGATTCAATAACAATCATGATTTCACTTTCAAATTTAATAAGAAAGCTGGTTTTGTTTGAATATAAATCAATACATCTAGCATTCAACAGAAATTCACAAACTTGTGCGAGTGGGGGTTTGAAATTGCTGGAATAACTGTCAAAAGCTACTTTTAAAAATGGGGGACAAGTGAACTTCCAGATACTAAATTAAAAAGAACCTGTCATCACCATCTTAAAATTTTAGTTGGAAAGGTTTTGCTCTGTCAAATTATACCTTTCTCGGAACAAAATTGATCACTGTAAAGATTTTTGTCACTTTTTTGTGGGGGGGGGGGGGAGACAAAGGGCCTCGAATTAAAAATGGCATGAAACATTGAAAACTTGTGATTGAACCCTCTTTAAAACTTAAGGTTTGAACTTGTTGGAATAATTTGCCTTTTGAGCACTTTTTTCATTATAAGTAACAAAATTCCTCAAAATCTTTAGTATGGCATATAACAACTATAACTTGTTAAATTGGTTGAAGTTCGGTGGCTTTTATACATTTTGAAGAAAAAAAACAGAGACAACATATACATATTTTTTGTAGGGGGTCTCCCAACTATAGATTCTACTAATGCTAACACGTAAAAAAAAAAAAAGTGTGCCCGCTGGCCCACTTAAAAAAAAAAAAAATAATTAAACTAATTTCTGGCAGAAAAATTTCACAGGGAGTTCTAGCCTTATCTTCACTTTTGAGCATGGATTTTCTCATTAAATCAGTAGATACATTTCTGAGTGATTACCAAGGTTCATATGTGCCTTTTTTAAGATGAACACCAAAGAACCCATTCCACTTTCATTGTAAGATCACTGATTGAATAGTATTTTCAGGAAATAAATGTTTTTAGTTGTACTTCATAGTATTTACATAAATGAGTACTATTCAAGCAAATTTCAGTTTCAACCCTACATGTGAAACCCCCCCCCAAAAAAAAAAAAGGAAACAACCAAATTCAACTATTTTCAAGCTGGCCCACTTAAAAAAAAAAAAAAATAATTAAACTAATTTCTGACAGAAAAATTTCACAGGGAGTTCTAGCCTTATCTTCACTTTTGAGCATGGATTTTCTCATTAAATCAGTAGATACATTTCTGAGTGATTACCAAGGTTCATATGTGCCTTTTTTAAGATGAACACCAAAGAACCCATTCCACTTTCATTGTAAGATCACTGATTGAATAGTATTTTCAGGAAATAAATGTTTTTAGTTGTACTTCATAGTATTTACATAAATGAGTACTATTCAAGCAAATTTCAGTTTCAACCCTACATGTGAAAACCCCCCCCCCCCCCAAAAGGAAACAACCAAATTCAACTATTTTCAAGAATATAACACCAGTTATGACACACATAATGAAATTGGTATCCTTGTGGAGACATTTCCTTGTTCTCGTGTAGTAAAGTTTTCGAGTTTGAAAGCGTAGTTTCAAAATGCCCTTATTTTAACCAGAATTAATTTCCTTGGCTGAAATTCGGACTTAATATCCCTTTTCTAAAACTCTTCCATTTGCGACGATCAACCCACCTTGGAAATTCCTAGTTTTTGAGTAAAATCCATATATCTGTTTCGTGAAAACCTTGTGGAGACGTATTCATCTATAGAAATTGCCCTGTGGAGACGTATACAATCTTTTGTTCCCTATTGTGTGCATGTCTCCAGAGGGCACGGTGTATCAGATCAATAACTCATGAGTGTATGTTTCTGCAGCACTTTAATACATAAAATTTACAGTAAAATCGTTACACTGACAATGGCATTTGATGCCGTTCTATTCACAGGATAGAACAAGCTTCATTGGTAAAGCACACGTTGAATAACAATAACTTAAATAAACATCATCCCAAAGCATTGGAGGGTTTGAAGTTTGAACTTAGTTTTAACTCTACCATTTCCAAAGGGTTTGCACTCAACTGTAAAAGCCAACAGTCACATTTTCCAAAAGACAATTCACAAAAATATTCCCCAAGGGCATATTTAAGTGGAGAGCAGGTGTGGTTCTAGAGTCTACATTTTAAGGGGGGGGGGGGGGGGGGGGGGGGGGCTCGTACCATATTTTCAATGGGGAGCGCTGATAAAATCATACAATCATGCACACTATGCCCCCTTCTCACGAATGGCTACGCCTCTGGTGGACATGTACGTTATCAATAACATTTACAATCTCAGATCAATCGATACTGCTATTTCATTTTTGTTTTTGACAATTTTTTTTTGGGGGGGGGGGGGGTAAACATGTTTTTGAGGGGGGCTAGAGCCTCCCCCCCCCAACCAGAACCGCGCATGGTGGAGAGGTGATTTCCCTCTTGCTATTTTTTTATGCTTATTATCATCAGAACTTGAGAAAATGTAACATGTCTGAAAATTCCTCAAATACCATAATATTGAATATCTCTGTTCACTGCTTATGGACTTTAGCCCTCAGTACCTCTGCCCACCCCCCCCCCCCATATCCCTCTCCAAAAAACCCCCAAATTACACAACAAACTTCAACTTCCATACACAGCCACCCAGCTTTGACTCCTTGATCAGTACTTTCTCGACGGTAAAAAAATCCAGCAAAAAATTACGAAGAATAAATCTCCTGTACACCCCGCCCCTTCCGAACCAAGACCAAAACCAAGACCTGGGATGCAACTGATCTCTATGCACACAGCGTCAAGTCGGACACCCTAGAGGCACATCCTCCTACGCTTACAGTTTCACAGAAGCAAACCTAGTGATGTGTGGTCACACTGCACTAGTCATCTCATACTTTACATTGATCACATTTGAAAATGATATATGAGGCATGAAACTGGGAAAGAGAAGTTTAAAAAAATACAAGACAAGGAAATCAGGTGATCTGATTCTGATGAAAAACTGCGTGTCTGATATCCATGTTTTTTTAGGGGGGGGGGGGTTGACAGTAAGAGTACTTTAGTGTTCACGGCAAACTTTTTAAAATCAGTTGGAAGGTTGTATGTGCTTATATGCACCTTATAAAGAAATGTCCAAACACAGGAACACAACTTAGAAATGGGGCAAATCGATCTGAACAAGCATGGGTAAGACAGACTGGGTGATGAGTATGTGCATTGCTTTGAGGGAGAAAAACAAAATGTTTGGTACTGGAAAATAATTGCAGTATACTGAGAAACGATTCGATCGAACTCGGAATTCAGGCAGAATTTTGAAAGATGCCCCCAACCCGTCACTGGGCTATGACTGTTCATAAAATACTGTGATGCACCGAGCTTTATACAAATGTCTTAAAGTGCTTCGCATTATAATTATTACCCCTGATCATCAGGCCATTTGATCAGGAAGCAGTTTTGCGATCAGGACAATCTGTCCTCCACCCTCACATGTACACCATTTATATTGGCTGGAGGGACTCAATTGCAGCAAAGTGTCTTGCCCAGGAACACAAACACCATGTTACCGATGGGGGTTCGAGCCCATATTGGCCTACCACCGCACAAGGTTCAGGCATAGAAATGATTGGACCTTTAAGTATGAGGTTATTGCCTCGGATTCTGGTGGAAGGAACTTGAAAAACCAAAGACCAAGACAACAAAACAATTGACAAACAAGAGCAAGTCAAGAGCATCCAACGGAACATTAGGCGCGGTCAGCAAACACAACGTGTAGCTATCCGTGATCAATGGCTACCATTACTATTCACACAGACACCCTCACAATGACACTTCATCCAGGCAGACGGCTTAGTAACTCAAGCTGCTCAAAGAAGTCCGTTTGTCAAGACATTTTTTTTCCCAACAACTTGACTTGATACAAAGCTTAGGTCTGATAATATCGATCGGCACCTAGGAGATGGAAACGCAAGCTGGAGGATTAGCGTGACTCAATGCCACAGTAGTGTCAATGACTCTTACCGAGGTCAAGCCTGGCACAGGAATCAGTGCTAGCAGTGTAATCGGAGCCAGTGGATTTTGGCAGAAAGAAATTAACTTTCGTCTAATTAACGGAGAGAAAAAGTTGATATGGAAGGCTGAGCGTAGTTGATTCGATTTAGTCCCCTCCACTTTGTTTGTACACTAAAAATAGGTTTCTGTATAGATTGATTGCATTCAACAGACATCTTTGAAGTTTGAGGATGCATAAAAGGTCTATACTCATGTATATCCCTGTTGAAGAGAAGCACACACCTAAAACAGGGGGGGGGGGGGGGTCATCAGAAAATCAATGCTGAAATGTAGACAGTTTTTTTGTTCGGACTCTGTAAAATCAATGGGGGGGGGGGGGGTTACCATACTTTCAATGGTGGCGCTGTTCAAATGCAATGATATTAACACTATATTACTGGATAGTGTACAAATACACCCATATCCCAGCAGGCCCTGTCCGTATTTGTGCACAGGCGTATATTAATACCAGTATAATGGTTTTTCGGTGTCAGAGTTGGGGGGGGGGGGGGAGTGGGGGTAGGATGTATATTTTCGGGGGGGGGGGGGTTAGCATTATTTTTTATAAATTTCTATGGAAAAATCTAATTTTTGACAGAGCTGGGGGGGGGGGGGGGGTTGACCCACCCCCTGGATCCGCGCCTGTCAAAGATGGATGCAGTGCAAACAATCTATAGAACAACATTAAATTTCCTCAAAAAATTTAAACAGATTTCCATTTTCACCTTATCTATCTCCCTTCCCAAAAACAATACATTAAAACAATTTCAGTCTAAAAATTTAGTTGCGATGAAAATAGAATAAAAACGTACCTAACTTCTAACTTTGGCTCCTATCCAACTATTATCAAGATGCCCTTGTTATTTCCAACTTCGATTTTAGCAGTTGCTCACATCAAACTGAAAGATGGGTTAAACTGTGTGGATAATTGTCTTCATGGCCAGCATGAAAGTTTTGATGTCAATGATTTCTTTCTTGGTGTAGTTCAAGTGCTTCAAGCGAAATTTTTTTCCTTACTTGTACAAGATCTTTGTTCATTGGTTTGATTTTTATCCACAAGCTTTTGGACAGTGCTGAAAATAGAATACAGTGCTTATGAGGGGCGGATCCAATTTTAGATCAAGGGGGATTTTCGTTGTCAAGGGGGCAGGTGAGGGAGGGGATGGGGTTCAAGTCCGCTCTTGTCAATTGCTTTGTCCAACCTTACAGTTATTTTATGCATCTAGTCAGTTTCCCTTTTTGTTTAATTTATGAAATTGAAATGTGTTTAACTTATGCAGCCTTTAGACTTTTCACACCGTGTATTTGCAAACTTCTCCCAATTTTTTCTTCTTTATGTTTTTTTGGCTGTTAAATGCTTAAACGTAAAGCAACTCTTTGAGGACCTCATTAATAGAATGTTTTACTTTGGTCACTGTTATAGTATTTCTATCCTATTGTCTTTTATTTTAGGAGAAGGAATGAATAAAAGAGATTGAGGTATTAGCAAGACCAGTGGCGCATCCAGGATTTGGTGGGGGGGGGGCGGGCTCACAATTGTGGGTGTTTTTTTTCACATTTTGTAGAAGTTCGATTTGTTTCAAAAAATGTTGCCCAAATTTTTTGGCCGGAGAAAAAAAAATTCTGTCGTTGGTGGCGCCCCTATTATACTACTCGAAAATAGGCCACATGCATATCACCAAGGTCAAATCGTGTGACTAAAAAAATTAAAACACAAATGACATCCTCTTGAGGGGGGCTCAAGCCCCCAAGGCTGCCCCCCCCCCCCCCTTTGAGTGCGCCACAGAGCAAGACAACTTATTAGTTTGGAGGAGACAGCACAACCCCAAAAGTCTTACAAGTCAGGCTTCGAGGGGATAACAGTGTGATGGAGCAGTTATAAATGTGCGGTTTAAAACCGGTGAGGGGCCTGGTCACCAATACTGGCCCTCCCACTGGAGGTCTTGAACGCGGTCCCAAAGTGCTATCTACTGTTGGTGCATGGAGTCTAGAGTATTCCAAGCCACATGACACCCGACCTTTGACCGTTGACCTTTGAATCAGGTGACTGAGCTTTTTCGAGCACTGACATCAAATGGTCAAACAGCACTCGTCATCAAAACTTCTCCTACAATGATGATCATTTGACCACTGATCTTGGACGGTCAAACAGTGACGGTCATCACCGTTGTCCAGTGGTGAAATTGACCGACACGTCTGGTCATGGAAGCAAGGTAGAGTAGGGCCTCCTGTCTCAGTATATGACCTTGAACGCATCTTCCTTGTAGGTGTACAGGATGACAAAGGACACACTGTCAAGAGAGTGGAAAAAGGGTATCAATCATTTCATCCATTCTTCTTTTCTTAACACTATCTGTCAGGGGAGTCAGGTTGGCGTAGCGATACTTTCTTCGCCTTCCACCGCTGTGACCCAGGTTCGAATCCCGCCTGGGCCAACATGTGGATTGGGTTTTCAGTCCCTACCTGATTCCGTGGGTTTTCCCCAGAATATTCTTCTGGGTTTTCGTCCCATCTCTAAAACTGTAATTTCTTCTCATCGTTTTCTCTCTACGGGTTTCTTCAGGCTTGTGAGCTACATTGTTGTACAGTGCCTAGGGCGCTTTTGAGGATTCCTTGGTTTCATTACTAGAAATAAAATAATCTATTATTGGCTCTGTTATTCTTAAAAATAAATTCCCCAATTCTGGACCCTCATCCAAAACCTCTTGGGGTATTCTATAAAAGAGGAAGCTCAAGTTTCTGCTAAATGACAGATTTCAGATGGTATAAAATATTGCTTGGTGTTTTTCACCAATCGTACATTTGCTCCAATTGAGAGTTTATCTCAATAATTTCGTAGTTTTATTTTTCAGGAACTAATTCCCTATGGTTTAATGCGTTTTTAAAATAATACAGGAACCACAAATACAAGCCATTGTTATATATATGAGGCTTCCAGTGGTAAAAATAAATCATCGTATTGTATGCTTTCATAAGTACCCGGATGACTGCAATGTTATGTCAATAAAGTACCCGGATGACTGCAATAATATTGATATTGCAGTCATCCGGGCATTTTCACTGGTTCCCGCATAATTAGAGTAGAAAGTCACAGTCCAAACAAGTTAACAGAGCGTAGCGCGCGGCACGCGGACGCAACGCGCAGCACTAACAGGGTACGTATATGCGCACTGTTGTCAACAGCCACAATGGCAGCTTCGAGCGGCGCGATAATGCAACAAAATTTGAGAAATAAGGGCAGTGTCCTGAAATGTATTTCTTGCGGATCAAGCTAGTCAGCCTAATATAAATAACAATAATAATGTTGGATTTTTTTTTCGGGGGAAAACAGAATATATTGCACCCCAATAACAATATTGCACTTGTCATAGCTTGTGCAATATTGTCTTGTATCCCCCTAAAAGCCATCAAATATTATAATTCGTCATCTGCACCACGAACTGACACTCAAATGAGCGTGAGTGCGCTGCACGCGCGTGTATTTACAGAACCGGGTTATGTTGAATTTCACGACCTGACATCCTCCACAGTGCGGCACTGTTAGAGCGCACACCGTACATTTTCGGTTTCACGAACTGACACTGACCTTAATTTCTCCAATTGAAACGCTTTTTAATTAAATTTCTGTGCAAGCACACAACTTTACGGATGGAGTATATTCGTGTAAAACCTTTCAAACGTTTTTCTCTGGTCTGTATTGCCGCATCATGCTTGGGTGTAGCTTGGGTGTCAGTTCGTGAAAACAAAAAATCTTTCTATTTTGCCTCAGTGTCGATGTACGTGTTCATCTTTTCAAACCGTGGACGAAAAATACCAGAGAACAAAAGAGAACAATATCGTCCACGATTCCCAGCATACGTCCGCGATTGGGGTCGTGTACAAAACATATAGGAGTCTTCCTAAAAAGTTAGAGTACAAACAAAAGAGGGACAATAGGATGTCCACGATCGACGGTAAACACACGTTTGTGTCCGTGCGTGCACTACCAAGTGTCAGTTCATCAAACCGATATTGTTGATTACGTGGTTTTCATGAACTGACACCCACCTGCCCGTGAGTGTCAGTTCGTGGTGCCGATGACAAATTATTGAGGGGAGACCAGCTTGCAGACAGGCTGACTGCATTTTGCAGTGCGGATCAATTTTTAAAAATTGGAAAACTACTGGAAAAAAGGAGCATCAAGCGAACAGCTGCAGTCCATGCATGAGTGCCAGTAGCACCCCAGTAATGGCGTCTTATGGTAGAAATTCGCAAAATTAGACCAATAGTGATAACAAATCCACGTACCCATTGTCCAGCTTGAATTTCTGTAAGACGTAGCATATCTCGTCCAAAACCTTCTTGTATTTGATGTGCATGTCACGTAATGTGGAAACGCTAGAGGAATAATTGCTTTCTCCATCAAACTGAAAGAAAAAAGAAATGCTTTGTTTTATTCCTTGGGATAGTTAACCCACTATAAGAAGAATGTAGTCCCACATCCCCAAACCAGAAAGAAAAGATACAGCAGAACATTAAAGAGGAACGAAGATAAACAAATCTGTAAAACAATCAAAGTTGGTTATTTAAAAAACAAAATAAAGGCTACATAAAGACCCAGAGGTACAATTTGGGCGTTTCACAATACAGTGTGCCACCAAGAGTTTGCCATCGAGAGTTCATATTTCCTAGTGCATTGTGGCAGATAATCGACAAATTCGTAGCACGGGCTATTTTAAATTGTTTATTGTCTGGTCAGTAGTTGCATTAGTGTATGATTTGAGTATCTGTTTGCCCTTTTCCTTTCTATTTATCAATATGGTGTTTTTCTTAAGGCAACAGAACGCTATGCCCCAATCCTTAACAAATTAGCTCAAATTGTCTACTGATACTCGTTAACTTTTTCATTAAATTTTCAATTTATCATTTTTCCGAGCGTGAGCAGGGGAGCATTTGCCCTACCCCCCCCCTCCATCAAGTTAACAGCAATATGGCTTCGCTGGCATCATAGTACACAGCAGGGAACCCAGAAGTACACAGCAGGGAGCCAGGACCAAGGAGTTTGGGTGATGATGTTGTGACCAGCGTTTGACTAGAGGCGTTCGCACATTGCTATTAGTGTGCAAAGTTACGCCACAAATCTACCACTAGTCGACTAATGGTCCTCTCCTGAACTTGCTCTACGATTTTTTTTAAATTCTGATTTACTCCTTACTGCAGTTGTCTTCCAGGAGTGATTAATGAATAGCAAACTACCTATTCAACATATAATAAATACTTTACAAAACACCACGCTAAGTAGGTAATAGGGACAGGGAAAATGTCACACTTTGGACCTTCAGTTTATACAATGACTCATATGGGTTTGAAGTAGTTTTAGTAAATGGACAAGTTTCAGTTTAATTGTGTCATTCTTTTGGTTGTCAGAGAGTGAAACAAAATTTATGGAACAGACATTAGTCCTACCAGCCAAAAGACTGTTCATTAATAATGATTGCTTGGAGAAATCTAAAACCATAACATGACATTTAATGACTCTGTATGGTTTTTATTTCCTGAACATTAGAGTTACAATAAAAAACTGAAAATTAATGGGACTGCTGCAAACTGCTTACTGAACTGGATTGACCTGAAATGTACAAATCTAAGAGATTAATAATAATAATAAATAAAAAAAAAAATTTGTAAAACGTCGGTATCCGCCTAAAAAAGGCGCTCATGGCGCTTGAGGAGAAAGTCAAGTTAGGATTGTGTGTCAAGTTAGGATAATGCGGCCTGACGCCCGACGAAATTAAACATTTCTTCGTCAGAGGCTTACAAAAAACTGGGCTGACTCTCTCAGATATATATATGTTATTATTTATCCCACTATTGCAAGTGAAACCTGGACAATGTGGCCCATCTGTGTCCCATATGCCACGATGCCAATGGAACACAGACCCACTACATGTTCCACAAGCGCAAGTGGGATAACAAATTGATCTTCAAGCAAACTCGCGACAAATTAACAATGGAACTGTAATAACCTTTCAGTGGTTATCCTATTATACGTACATGTAGCAGGAATAGCACGCGCATCTTAGAATAGCGCAATACACAGAAGTGCGGAATGGACCGTGGCGTACGGGATAATCCATGGATCGACCAACCAGGATCGAGGATTCGTGTATGCTTGAAGATCATCATTTCAATATTTGGCAATGCTCCAACTTGAGTGGATTTTTTTTTAAAGAAAACACAAATTCTCTATTTTTAAAATGCAATCTAGAGTTTTCAAAACACTGTGACCTTTTAAAACAGACTGCCCTTACAATTTGAATTTATAAATCAGTGAGAAAAATAGCTCCCACGGCTGGAACACATTTTATAATATCGACCCTACTGAGAATACACTTCAGTTTCTCTCAATTTGAAATTCAAACAACCCAAGGAACTTAAGTTTAATTTCACAAATTATACGGAACAGCGGCCAACTTTATCCTCCTGTAATCTGCCGACACAAAAGAACATCTGACAAAAGTGAACAACCGACATTTAGATTAAAAAAAAATTAATCCCCCTAAAGGCTAACGGTAAAAGCGGCTTGTGAGACATTTTGCATCCCCATAATCTTTTCAAAACAGTCCCGGTATTTATTCCTAGGCAGCTTTACAATTCCTAGGCAGCTTGGCAATTTCCCTCAGGCTTTGCCCAATCACTGCGAAGGATTACTTCTAAAGTCGGCTCCTCTGTGTGCGATTAACCAACAAGGGCTTTAGTCCCCTGACAAATGAAAATAAATGGCTTGTAAATCTACCAATTTACAAGTACAGAAAAACAAAGCTGGGCTGAAAAGTTCAAATTTAAGTCGCAAAGCTTGCAATTCCCTCCATGAGTTAAAGAAAAGTTTCAAATTGTTCTGATAAACCACCCACTGGTTATGAATCTGTGCACTGACATGAATGTTAAAGGTAGAGTACGTCATTTGTCATTTGTGCATTGTTTCTGTTTGAAGCAACCAAAAGTGCTCAAAATCTATAGATGGGTGCTTAGCAACTAACCTGATGAAGTTTTAGCTCTGTGAATGCTGTATATTCTGAAAATTCAAAATTTGCCTAATCATGTTTTTAATTGCACCTGAAATCAGCGTCTGGGACATGTTCTCATGAACAGACAAATTATAGCAACTGCACGCGTACCTGTGCATCGTGTCAACGCTTGCACGCACCCATTCACTGATGTGCCAAAGTACAAAACCAACTACTAACAGAAAAACGGCCTTCTTTCATTGTTTTCTTCTAAATGACAGCATGCCAGAAAGAATAATTTCACAGGGAATCTAGTGTCGTTACTATCTTTAAACCAAGGAAGTTTTTCATAAATAATTTCATCAGTTACATTTTGGATAACTGCAAATGATATACTCTATCTTTAAATAAAAGTTCAAGGGGCCTGAACATTTACTAATTGAAACAAATAGAATCAAATTCCAGGCAATGTCCAAAGCCTCAGTACCATTTGCTACCAGGTCACCACAAAATGAGCATTAAGTCAGACTTTCTAAGAACTCAGATGTTTTCATTTCTGGTTTCTGCAGAACAAGAGCTTTCGAATGGTATACAACATTTGGGGATACTGAGTTCAGTAACAGAAATATAGACCGCCAACTAAATTGAAGTTGTAAAAGTGACTTTTGAGAAAATGGCATTTAAACAATCCTGCTGTTCAATGAATGAACAGTCAACTAATTAAACAGGTGAAAATAGGTTTCAAAGATGTTTGATAGAACCAAAAATATTGGGGAAAGGCAGGACAGGAATTACAGATGAAGGTTCACCTGAAAACAAAAATTGATCACCCCTTCAAATTTTGGCTTTTCCCCACTGTACTGCAACATGGCTCATTTCATGGCGAAAGGTCACATTTACTTGAAATTTTGTTTCCATGAGTGAAAATAATATCAGTCCTGATGATTTGAAAAGCACAGACGTGAGGAGAAAGGCACACCTGGATTTTCGTAGGCGTGTGATTTTACTAGGCGTGTGATTTTTCTAGGCGTGTTTTCTCTAGGCGTGTGATTTGTCTAGGCGTGTGATTTTTCTAGGCGTGTGATTTTTCTAGGCGTGTGATTTCTCTAGGCGTGTGATTTTTCTAGGCGTGTGATTTCTCTAGGTGTGTGATTTTTCTAGGCGTGTGATTTTTCTAGGCCTGTGATTCTGTGGTCCAAGCTGGGACTGAGCAATCTGGTATGTTTTTATAATATTCATCTTGGTTTTTTTTTTCTTCACTGACATACTTTTTTTCACAAATTATGAAGTGTAATCATGCTGCAAATGTGTGTCGAGGTTTGCGGTACAGAGGAATTCAGGTGTGTGATTATTCACACTTCTTGGGAAGCTCTTAGGCGTGTGATGGCGTGGGGGTGCGATCGCACGCCTCACATCAGGACTGGAATATAGTAGTTTTTTAGTTACCACTGCTTTTCAGTCTCTACACCATCCTAGTAATGACTACATAGTTATCATCATGAACAGAAAAAAATACGAAAATCATTTGAATTTTTTTGGGGCAAAAAAAATGTCTATACTCACATCCAGTACAGCTACCATGCTTTTCACTACGGCCAAAGGTAGATCCACCTGATAATAATTCAAAAATACAAGAAATATTAAATCAAATTAGGTTTTGCTCTTCACCAATGTATAAACACTGTATACTCTGAGTGTTACCTACTGAGTGAAAGTTGGAAAAAAATCACTCGAGTGGGACTCAAACCCAAGACCTCCCTGCATTCTAGTGCAGATGTCTTGCCACACGACCACCGAGCTAACGGGATCGGTTGGCTGGTTCGAATCTTATGTACGTAGCAGCGGTTACCGCATTAACTACAGTCGAGTCTCGTTAGTACAAACTCTGTTAATACAAAATTCTGGTTATAACAAACATAAAGCCCTGGTACCGACTGTGCATTTATGTGCACAATGAATGGGACTGATGTTCCTCTTAATACAAAATTCTGATATAACAAACAATTTGGCTAGGTCCGAACGAGTTTGTTATAACGAGACTCGACTGTATTCATAAGATGGATTTTTTGTTTGCGTGATGTAAATCAAATTAGGTTTTGCCCTTCACAGACTTCACCCTGGCCTTACAGACCATTATCATGTTGCGGCCATCTTGATTTTTTTCCCATTCAAATCAACGTAAGCAAAGCGAGACTGGAAGGAAAAATAGTCTGGTTCCTTTTTGCCCAAATTTTTTTTATTATTGAGTACTGTTATTGGATGCAGGGAACATGACTGAAATGGTGGCAGCAGGATAATGACCTTATTTTCTTCGGGCCCACACTGAATACTTACAGCTACGACCTCCACTTTGGTCTTGGATGTAATACACTCCAGAACCGGCTCAATCTTTGATTGGATCTGGGAATTGAGAAAGAACTCATTAGAATTACAATGGAGACATTAGACTAACAAAGTGAAGCAGGGAGGGATCAGGGTTGAGATTATTGGACCTATCCGTTGATGGACTCTATCTCCACTGTGAAAAAGGTCAGTAAAAAAAATGGCTCTCTCACCGCAAGGGAAACCACGGTTGGATTTGGTTTATATCATCAAATCTCATAGGAAATTCTGTAACCCTACAAATAGCATTACGAAAACATGTTTATGACAGAAACTTTTACTAAAACGCCAAGCACACACTATTTGTAGTCCATGGCATTTGTATGCCTGAGGGGTGCCATTTGCCCCCGACACAGTGGTACAAACCCATGGACTATATCACAACAGATAACAATATTTGTTGTTATACCATAATATTATTTTTTATAACTTCTTTGAGTACTTAAAAAGAACTTGTCTGCTTTCGACACCGCTACGCATTATCATTGCAAAGCCCAGTTTTGGTCTTTGATGAAATGTGCATCTTTGTTGACATGTGCATGGATCCTTGTTGCAACACGGACGCCCGAATACCATCTTCTGAGAACCTTGTGCGCAAGGTCTTTTCTTGAGCAGTGTTGTGCATAGAACCAAGGATGGAAATGTCTTTGAGAAAGATACATGCTACTATGCTTACCCTCTCTTCCTGGCGCTGATCTCAGACCAGGGAGACAAAGGTCATCGGGTCATGGGTCAAAGGTTAACGATACATGTAACCACGCTTACCCTTACCACTTGCTCGTGTCTCTTCCTGGCGCTGATCTCGGGCCAGGGAGACAAAGGTCACCGGGTCATGGGTCAAAGGTAAACAATACATGTTACCACACTTACCCTTACCACTTGCTCGTGTCTCTTCCTGGCGCTGATCTCGGGCCAGGGAGACAAAGGTCACCGGGTCATGGGTCAAAGGTAAACAATACAAGTAACCACGCTTACCCTTACCACTCGCTCATGTTTCTTCCTGGCGCTGATCTCAGGCCGGGGGACAAAGGTCACCAGGTCATGGGTCAAAGATTAACAATACAAGTAACCACGCTTACCCTTACCACTCGCTCATGTTTCTTCCTGGCGCTGATCTCAGGCCGGGGGACAAAGGTCACCAGGTCATGGGTCAAAGGTTAACAATACAAGTAACCACGCTTACCCTTACCACTCGCTCATGTTTCTTCCTGGCGCTGATCTCAGGCCGGGGGACAAAGGTCACCAGGTCATGGGTCAAAGGTAAACAATACACATTACTAAGCTTACCCTTACCACTCGCTCGTCTCTCCTTCCTGGCGCAGATCTTAGGCCAGGGAGACAAAGGTTATAGGTCATGGGTCAAAGGTTAACAATACACATTACTGAGCTTACCCTTACCACTCGCTCATGTCTCTTCCTGGCGCGGATCTCAGACCGGGGGACAAAGGTCACCAGGTCATGGGTCAAAGGTAACAATACACATTACTACACTTACCCTTACCACTCGCTCACGTCTCTTCCTGGCACTAATCTCAGACCAGGGAGACAAATGTCACAGGTCATGGGTCAAAGGTTAACGATACAAGTTACTAAGCTTATCCTTGTCACTCACTCATGTCTTTTCCTGGCGCTGATCTCAGACCAGGGAGACAAAGGTCACCAGGTCATGGTTCAAAGGTTAACAATACACGTTACTATGCTTACCCTTACCACTCGTTTGTGTCTCTTCCTGGCGGTGATTTCAGGCCGGGGGACAAAGGTCACAGGTCATGGTTCAAAGGTTAACAATACGCGATACTACACTTACCCTTACCACTCGCTCATGTCTCTTCCTGGCGCTATCTCAGGCCGGGGGACAAAGGTCACAGGTCATGGATCAAAGGTTAACAATACATATTACCACGCTTACCCTTACCACTCGCTCATGTCTCTTCCTGGCGCTGATCTCAGGCCGGGGGACAAAGGTCACAGGTCATGGGTCAAAGGTTAATGATACATGTTACCACGCTTACCCTTACCACTCGCTCATGTTTCTTCCTGGCACTGATCTCGGGCCGGGGGACAAACGTCACGTTGTAGTTGGTGGCGTTGCTGGTGGGCATGGTCTCCAACATCGCAAGTTTGATTGTCGTCTGCTGCACGCCCTCTAGCGTCTCACTGAGAATAAATTTGACAGAAAATTTAGAGCAAACTATAGTTAACCATAGTTCAACTAACTAGTCAACTATTTGGAACCACACCACAGGGCAAGGTTGCATCGCTGCTTACAAAAGCCATGCACATTATACTAGAAGAGAGCAAGGACCACAAATTTTGTGGTGACTGTTGCTATTAGTGCACAGGTGTAAGTTACGTCACAAATTAACCGCTAGTCGACTAACGGTCCTTGATCCAACTTGGTCTTAGATGGAGATTGGCTTTTGTGGGTCCATTTAAGTTAATATATTTTGCTGATGCCGGTTTGCTTTTCACGCCAGACATTTCTTATCAAAACATAAAAGGTTTTAAACTAGTTCTCCAACAGCACTGAATATGCAGCGCTCACAAAAACATTGTCACAGGGCAAACTCAGTATTAAAATGTGTCTACCATAGACAAATTCTTCTTGTGAGACATTGATGGTTGTACCTACTGCTGTATCGGATTTGAACCAGCCAGCTGACCTTGGCAATTTTGGTGGTCGAGTGGTATAGATGACTGCTCTAGTGAGCAGAAGTTCCTAGGTTCGAGTCTCACCCCAGCAAGATTGTGAATTTTCTCTAGGAAGCTTTTGGAAGGCACTGAGTATACTACACAGTGCATATCAAATTATGTTGGTCAAGGGGCGAAACCCAATATTCCAACACAAAAGTTTCAACCAAGATTGCGTATAAAAATATTATGTTTTATCATGGGGTTTTGCCCTTTCACCGACGTGTTATGAGCACTTGTGGGCTCCGAGTTTTCCTGGAACTAAAACCTTCAAACTTAGGTGGGACCTTCTGATTACTAGCACAGATATCTTTAATACCATTCAAAGACCGAGCTTGCCGGGGTCAGCTGGCCAGTTTCAATCTGATATAGCTGGGCGTACCACAATCAATGACTAGTAAGCAGGAGGTTGTGAGTTGGAGTCCCACCGAGTATAATTGTGACAAGCAGTCCGTGGACCGCATGTGTCACCTTTTTCCAAGGTCGATCCCTATATGATTTTTGTTCTTAAATAAAGTCACATTTTGTGCATTTTTAAACAACCACCTCAAATGACCCCTAGATGACCTTTGACCTCCAATTTTAGAAGAGTTGTCATGAACCCCCACCCACCGATCACTCCATCCAAGTTACATTAAAATCCATCAAATTCTGTACACAAAGAAATATTTGAAGCATATTTGAACAATGACCTCTAATGACCCCTACATGACCTTTGACCTCAGTAATCCGATGAAGACTTGTGTCTTCCCACCCAAGGGTCACTGCATCCAAGTTTCATCATTATCCATGAAAGCATGTAACAGTTATACATTTGTTTCAAAACTTTGACATGTAGGTCTACGGGTCTACGGTCATACAGAATTTAGATCTGATACACCGTGCCCTCTGGAGACATGCACAAAATACGGAACAAAAGATTGTATACGTCTCCACTGGGCAATTTCTATAGATGAATATGTCTCCACAAGGTTTACATGGATTTTACTCAAAAACGAGGAATTTCCAAGGTATGTTGATCTGTCGCAAATGGTAGAGTTTTAGAAAAGGGATATTAAGTCTGAATTTCAGCCAAGGAAATTAATTCTGGTTAAAATAAGAGCATTTTAAACCAGTACTTTCAACTCGAAAACTTTAGTACACGAGAACAAAGAAATGTCTCCACAAGGATGCAAATTTCAGTATGTGTGGACTTGTTTGTGTTTCCCAAAATTTTGTTTGGGTGACACAAAATTTTAAGTTCTAAATTGTAGGCTTACGTCTTGCTTGTGCTGATCATCTGATGTAAAGTTTCCACAACGTTGTGGAAATCAGCTCGGTACTCTGTCACTTGCTTCTCCTTGTCAAAGAAACGAATCTGTGAAATGCAACAAAAAACTTGTGAAGACAAAACTGCAAACCAACAGTGTGGAAACCCGAGACGTTTACTTTGTAGTAGTAACAACCTTCTGGAGGCCTTGTAGCCACGCGGTTAGAGCGTGGAGCTACGGAGTGGAAGATTGGTGGTTCAAATTCTATTCGGACCAAAAACTGGAAAACTCTCTCGGACGACCCAACAGTAAAATGGGTACCTGATTCGTTCAAGGAAGGTAAGACAGCGAGAGGAGAGGACTGGGCCCCGCCACTCAGATGCCGCGCCCAAGACACGGTGGACCTCTAACATCCCACTGCCCCTAGGGCCAGCAATGGCTATGGGGTACCTTTACCTTTACCTTACCTTAGTAGTAACCTTAAAGTCCTACAGGACCACTTGTATTTTCCCAAAAGTAACCTACTGAATTATTATCAAAAAGCTTTCTTGGATTAAAGATCGTACTGGTACGAAAGAACCCTTGACATTATTCCATCTGGCTTGCTGTCATAAGGAAGAAATCAAGTAAAGGTAGGTGATTTCCAACGATCATTCAATTTTTGGGGGAAAATAAAGTGTGCTTTGGACAAAATTGTGTTTTGTGATCAAAACCTTTTGCATTTTTTTCACAGTTTCTGGAAAAGTATAATATCCACTGAGCTGAAACTTCAACAGGTTAAGCTTTGAACATTCTTCTTTGGAGTTTGAGTGGTGTTGTTATTAGAAATGAACAAAATGCACGATCCTACAATGCATGATCCTAGCCTTTAACTCTCGATACGCTAAACCCAGCAAGTTTCACGTTACCTTGACTGTTTCGTTGCGATCTTTCAACACAACCAGATAGCTGATGCTGACTGCACGGCAGTAATCTTGGATTTCTTCCAGAGGCTTTGACATTGTAAAATATAAGAAGGAAAAGAAATCAGACAACATATAAATGCAATTGAAATATGTCGTCCTCTTTTTGATCCCCGTCATGTTTGCGTTGACCAGTATGTTTTCTTTCTGTTTTCCCTTATCGTCTTTCCTTGTAATTTTGTTTTGTAATGTATTTCTACACAAGCTCCAGCTTCTTGAAAATGCCTCCATGCTTTCTAATTCTGATAAATTTTGTACATAAAAAAAATTCTTTTTGCTGATTGTGAACTGTTTATTTATTTCATTTAATATTAATATGTGTGTAATTATCACAATTTGAAAGTATGGAATAAATATCTAGTGTGCACACGCTCTTGTTTTACTATACTCTCGAGGACAATGCTTTGTGTTTCCCTTTGTCCCTGTAATATAACACACTCCCATAGACTAAGCACTTAAACCTACTACAGAGGACCGTTTCCAACAAAAGACCCAACTCCCGAGGACTGACAGGATCTGTTGTTCTCCCTTTGTGTGTCGGTCCTCGGGGGTTACGGTAGAACATGTACACAAAGCCTTGGTCATATATGCAGGGGCGGATCCAGGTTTGGAGGGGGGGGGGAGGGGTACCATGAGGGAGGTGTAGCAGGCATTTGCTGTGTTTTCTGCTTGATTTTCCTTTTGTTCTTAGACCCCTAACAGCCCCAGCCCTCTTAAAGATCTGCCACTGATATGCATGAGTGTCAGGCGATGTCGGCAATGTGTTCAAGTAACCCTCCCACTGTTCTAATTCTCCCTACGTAACTGTTGAGGGGTACATGTGCATTTCTCCCTACGTGACTGTTGAGGGGTACATGTGCATTTCTCCCTACGTAACTGTTGAGGGGTACATGTGCATTTCTCCCTACGTGACTGTTGAGGGGTACATGTGCATTTCTCCCTACGTGACTGTTGAGGTGTACGTGTGCATTTCTCCCTATGTGACTGTTGAGGGGTACATGTGCATTTCTCCCTACGTGACTGTTGAGGGGTACATGTGCATTTCTCCCTACGTGACTGTTGAGGGGTACATGTGCATTTCTCCCTACGTGACTGTTAAGGGGTACATGTGCATTTCTCCCTATGTGACTGTTGAGGTGTACATGTGCATTTCTCCCTACGTGACTGTTGAGGTGTACAAGTGCATTTCTCCCTACGTGACTGTTGAGGGGTACATGTGCATTTCTCCCTACGTGACTGTTAAGGGGTACATGTGCATTTCTCCCTATGTGACTGTTGAGGTGTACATGTGCATTTCTCCCTACGTGACTGTTGAGGTGTACAAGTGCATTTCTCCCTACGTGACTGTTGAGGTGTACTAGTGCATTTCTCCCTACGTGACTGTTGAGGTGTACATGTGCATTTCTCCCTACGTAACTGTTGAGGTGTACATGTGCATTTCTCCCTACGTGACTGTTGAGGTGTACGTGTGCATTTCTCCCTATGTGACTGTTGAGGGGTACATGTGCATTTCTCCCTATGTGACTGTTGAGGGGTACATGTGCATTTCTCCCTACGTGACTGTTGAGGGGTACATGTGCATTTCTCCCTACGTGACTGTTGAGGGGTACATGTGCATTTCTCCCTACGTGACTGTTAAGGGGTACATGTGCATTTCTCCCTATGTGACTGTTGAGGTGTACATGTGCATTTCTCCCTACGTGACTGTTGAGGTGTACAAGTGCATTTCTCCCTACGTGACTGTTGAGGTGTACTAGTGCATTTCTCCCTACGTGACTGTTGAGGTGTACATGTGCATTTCTCCCTACGTGACTGTTGAGGTGTACATGTGCATTTCTCCCTACGTAACTGTTGAGGTGTACATGTGCATTTCTCCCTACTTGACTGTTGAGGGGTACATGTACATGGAGTCCGTGACTGGACAGACCTTGCATTTCATTCAAGCATGGTTCACTCACCATGGTAGAATCATAGAGGATGTCGGCTCTTAGTCCGCTGGCCCAGAGATCTCGGACAACTTTGATCTTATCCTTGTAGGAAGAGCTGCTGCCGATGGCACAGACGAGAACATCACAGACACTCGGAGTCTGAGAGGGGGGAGGGAAAGATTATAGAATATCAATAATGGATAACATAACACTGTACAGGCACCATACATTGCGCATACATTTTCTCTGATTTCTCAAAATGTATAGTATTCATGAGCTGAAACTTCAATGAGTTTAATTATGCAACCTTCTTAAGAATTTGAGCAATGTTGTTGCTTCAAACAAAAAAAATGCACAAAAAGCAAATAATATTGATGTACCTTTAAAAGGTTTGTCAGATTCATTATGTATTAGGTTTTTAAATTTGTTTTGTTTGTCTCCTATTGTCTTTGACTTGAAATCCTCACAATATGAAATTTGATGTGGTCATGGGCATTCAATGTTCAACATTGTATTACCTTTTTTTGGATATTCATTTGACATTTTGTTATGTCCTTTGTTTTGCATGTTACATTCCAGTCCATTTTGTTAGTTTAAAGGCACAATGTGAATTTTTACATGTTTCTTATTTTAGTATCTTTTGAATTTGATTGTTGTTGATACAAATTATCAGCGGCCTTAAACTGGCTAAGATTTATGGACATTGCTTGAAGTCTGCAGGCAAAATTTGGGTTTCAATCTTGGTCTTGTCAAGTCTTGATTTCATTCAAGTTTGAAGGAGCTCTGGGCTGACAGAGCCCTGTCCATTTCGTGGAGACCGGGAACAGTAAGCACGGAAGGTGCACGCTATTAGGCAGAAGTTATTACTATCCCTCATACATATTCATGACCGAGAACCGAATTCTCACTGGTCCATTCACCGTCACGTGCCAGATGTTATTTTTGCCGTTTACCAAGTGCGCGCACGAGTATTCACGCACAGGCTAAATACGCATGCGTAGTAGACTGTCGCACAGGTTACCCATGCGACAGTCTACTGGAACTGTACGCATGAGCGAACATCGTCCTAGCTACACATGAAAAGATGGTTGCACACGTAAATGTTAATTAGCGTTTTCCCGAGCTCAATGATGCTGAACTGGAGAATATTGTGGACAATCAAAATGCCCTCTGTACTAAAACAAAATTGTCCACAATGTGGTTAAAAATCTTAGAAGTTACTGTATTGCAAACGAAATGAACTTTTCTGAGGTTGAGCAATAATATTCTTCTGGTGAGCTGGACAAGTTTCACCAAAGAATACAAATATAACATGGTTTATCAGTATTGCAACAGTATACAAATGTAACATGGTTTATTTCGGGTGAATAGTCGATATTAGCTCCCCTCGGTATTGGAAGTTAACAAACTAGTTCCCGAGGGTCAACTTCCAATACCTCGGGGAGCAAATATCGACTGTCCACCCTCAAACCATGTTATATTTGTGTCCTGTTGCAAATCAGTATATTTGGATGTTAAAGCATTCACATAACCAGCACAATAATTGTGCTTACGACGAGCATTATGTTATACTTTATATATAGATAGTGAGTACAACTGCAAACTGTTCAGCAATGCAAAGAAATCGGCCCTTGGGGTTAACTCATAACATACCGTCTCTGACAGGCTGTACATGTATGTGTCTTGGAGCACAGCTGATACTATCTTCTCAAACGACACGCTGATGCCAACAGCCGACGGACAAACCTGATGCTGCTGGGAAGATGGCTTCTTGAATATCTGAATCTGGAAAGACAGACGGAGAATTCAAGCTGTTTATTTATTTATCTTATTGATATTTATCATCAATTACAGGCTTCGATAAATAACTTTTATATTACTATCAACGGCAGGGAAGAAGTGGTCAGGGCCGTATTGCATGGTGCTGCTACACAGGAACTATAAAAAAATTTTAAAAATTTAAAAAAATAAAAATTAACTGACAAACAATCATAAGGCCAAAAAAAAAAAGTCTCCGGTTTCTGGTATGCGCGCGCGTCGCCGTAGCCATGCGCGTCGGCAAAATGAAAAAGTTTTTTTTTCAATGAAACATGATGTCTCAAAACCGCCAAACTCACTGGTTTGACTGGAATCCTGCTGCTGCACAATTTTAACGTGTTTTTAGATGGGGTTATGATCGAGAATAGTAAGCTTTATGTGGCCTCTCTGGTCTCCCATAATATTTGCACTAAGTTTAGTCGGGCACCATTTGCAGTCATCAGCCGACATTTGAAGCCAAAAAAAACAGGTAAAAAAAAAAAAAAAAGCTGCGTCACCGCACCACTTTTTGGGCAAGCTCCATACCAGAAACCGGAGACTTTTTTTGTGTGGCCTAATCAATACAAATCACATGACCTTCCAGCTTGTGTTCTGTTTTTGCTGAGCTAAATTGTGTACTTTGCAGATCCACGATATAAGCATTAACACATAGTATAGACTAATTAGGCAACAGTCATTTTCTGAGGTGGCACTGCGGTACCACCAGGCTCGTGTGAGTTGCGCTCACGTAGTATGCAAGCACTCTGTGCTCCTTCCACCAATTGTGTCACCAAAATGCGCACGCGCCTTGTCTTTAAGAATGCGTGCGGCATGCATGTGAGTGTGGCACCACCTCAAAAATGACTTCTAATTCCATTCGCCGGATTACACTATAGCAAATCGAAGATTTTATAGGCAATTTGAAGGGTTTCGGGTTTGACATAAGTCAGTGTACAACTCTATTGTTTATCGGGTCTTACTGCCATCTGTATTTAACTACTTTGTGTGCAAATCCAAAAATTATGAACAATAGATAAGTTGTTCATTGCTAATATAAATTTCAGATTTTTGCAATCATGTGAAAAGTAAGACACAAGAAACTACTCCAATTAGTACTTTCCAAGTACATGTACTTTTCCCAAAACTTCAGTTAATTTCTGCTTGATTCTTAATCTGCAGTGCAAAATGCATGTAAAACTGGAAACTCAAACACAATCATATAAAAGTGTATATCACGAACATATAAACTGAATTAAACAGAATACTTGAACCTTTTCAAAGTATATGAGTTTTGGCGAGTAAAATAAAGCTTAGGATTTGTGGGTCATTACCAGTTGATCATATCTGCCCCCAGCTGCCAGCACATCCATTCCTGTTTTTTTCTTGCGGTGGACGGACTCGGCCACGAACTGAAAGATCACCCCAGAGAAACAGTGGATGTTGTAGACCAGGCTCAGCGTAACAATCATCTACAAAGGACAACAATTAACAACATGATTAAAAGAATCCGATCTCTTAAAAAGAGCCTGTCCATCCAAAGTTGTTTCAAAGTCCGAGGCAAACTGCCCCAATTTATACCACCCTAATAGCCTGTTTTCTCGAAGTTTCTTATCAGAACAAACAATTTCTTATGCAAGACGGCAAAAAACAAAATTGTGAAACAAAGGCCGAGTGATTAATGTTTGGAAACAAAATTAATTGTTATAACACGGTAATAGATTGTGAATTTCTATTGGTCAAGAGTGGATCATGTGACCAGTGGCGTCACCAGACTTTTCAGTCTGGGGGGGCACAGGGGGGGCACCAGCATTTGATGGGGGGCACTTAGGTGGATACGGATCGCCGTCCTGGGGGAGGGGTCTAAGGGGAGGGGCCCCCTCCCCTTTGGAAAATTTTCGCATACGGAGGATGGGCTAGATGCAAAATGGTGCCACATTTGATGCTAAATTCGATCTGAAGATATCTCCAGAAATTGCTATTTAACCAACTCAGATGATGGGAGTTGAATATAACAAAATATATATATATTTTTTACCAACCCAAATCTCAGATGGGGGGGCACTCGGGGGGCACTAGGTTTTCCAGGGGGGGCACGTGCCCCCCCTGGCCCCCCCTTGGCGACGCCACTGCATGTGACATGCCACAAAAACGCATGAGCGATGTACGCCGTGGTACACGAGTGATGTACCCCACGGGGTTTGTCTGCTTTTTTGTTCGTCTGTTTTTTTTAACTGTGCCAATTTCGCCGTAATTTCACTGAATTAATGTCGGCAGATGACAACAGGTCCCCTCCAAAGAAGAGGTTTCTCTCTTGTTCCAAAGACGAGATCAGAAATATGATATTTGAAAAGAACAGCATCAGCACGAAGACAAATATGGTAAAAATTCTGTGCGAATAGTTCGCCAATAGAAGAGACCCACAGTTTCAGACGTTACCAGTAACAGAATTGGACAGCTGTAATCTATTACCGTGGTATAACAAAACAATGGTTGCCTGCTGTGACGGCGTCCATGGGTTTTGTACACCCTCGGGGACAAATGGCACCCTTGGCTTTGCCTCGGGTGCCATTTGCACCCTCGGGTACAAAACACCATGGACCCTGTCACAGCAGGCAACAATTGTTTAATGTCAACTGAGATGTAACTTCCCTTGTTGCCATCATCAAATATAATCTAAAGCAGAATTTCAATCAAGCCACTTGCTACAAATCCCTCTTTTATAGCAATAACACTTCCGTTACTTTGTCGTTCTGAGCACAACTACAGTAATTAGTTTGCATCGAAATTGCCAATTGTTCCAATTCTGCTGGTTGTGCACATTTAACAAATGAAGTTGTTTATCAATCAAAGAACGTAGTTTCACATGAACTTTCCATTCAATAACAGTGAGATAAAAGGATTAATGCAAGGCAGAGGACTTTTGAAAATTGCAAAGGAAGGAAGGGACGGCTTTCTGCCATTCAATGCCGACAGTTAAATCGTCACACTTGCAAGTTACCTGAAAGATCTAATGAATATCGTTTAATCTGTCATGTCTACCCGAAGGTCTTTAGTCAATATGTGATCTCTGTAATTCACTGGGAGACTTTCTGGGAAGAGAACGTCTGTTTCTTTCTGATTACGAATGTTATGGTGTTTGCTTGACTGATTTCCACTGAGAAGTACTTTCCCTTGTTGCCGTCATCAAGTCTAATCTGGAGAAGAATTTCAATCAAGCCACTTGCTACAAATCCCTCCGAATTAATAACAATTCTGTTACTTTGTCATTCTGAGCACAACTACAGTAATTAGTTTGCATCGAAATTGCCAATTGTTCCAATTCTGTTGGTTGTGTATATTAATCAAGTGAGTTGTTTATCAATCAAAGAACATAGCTTCAGATTAACTTTCCATTCAATGATACGAGATAAAAGGATTAATGCAAGGCAGAGGACTTTTGATAATTGCAAAGGAAGGAAGGGACGGCTTTCTGCCATTCAATGCCAATAGGTAAATGGTCACGCTTGCAATTTACAGGAAAGATCCAATGAAAATCAATTAATCTGTCATGTCTACCTCAAGGGCTTTATAGTCATTATGTGATCTCTGTAATTCACTGGGAGACTTTTGGGAAGAGAACGTCTGTTTCTTTCTGATTAGGATTGTTATGGTGTTTGCTTGACTGATTTCCACTGAGATGTACTTTCCCTTGTTGCCGTCATCAAGTCTAATCTGGAGAAGAATTTCAATCAAGCCACTTGCTACAAATCCCTCCGAATTAATAACAGTTCCGTTACTTTGTCATTCTGAGCACAACTACAGTAATTAGTTTGCATCGAAATTGCCAATTGTTCCAATTCTGCTGGTTGTGTATATTAATCAAGTGAGTTGTTTATCAAACAAAGAACATAGCTTCAGATTAACTTTCCATTCAATGATACGAGATAAAAGGATTAATGCAAGGCAGAGGACCTTTGAAAATTGCAAAGGAAGGAAGGGACGGCTTTCTGCCATTCAATGCCGATAGGTAAATTGTCATGCTTGCAAATTAAAGGAAAGATCCAATGAAAATCAATTAATCTGTCATGTCTACCCGAAGGGCTTTAGTCAATATGTGATCTCTGTAATTCATTGGGAGACTTTTGGTGAGAGAATGTCTGTTTCTTTCTGATTAGGAATGTTATGGTGTTTGCTTGACTGATATCCACTGAGATGTACTTTCGCTTGTTGCCGTCATCAAGTATAATCTGAAGAAGACTTTCAATCAAGCCACTTGCTACAAATCCCTCCGAATTAATACCAGTTCCGTTACTTTGTCATTCTGAGCGCAACTACAGTAATTAGTTTGCATCGAAATTGCCAATTGTTCCAATTCTGCTGGTTGTGTATATTAATCAAGTGAGTTGTTTATCAATCAAAGAACATAGCTTCAGATGAACTTTCCATTCAATGATACGAGATAAAAGGATTAATGCAAGGCAGAGGACTTTTGAAAATTGCAAAGGAAGGAAAGGACGACTTTCTGTCATTCAATGCCGACAGGCAAATTGTCACACTTGCCATTTACCGCAAAGATCCAATGAATATCAATTAATAATCTGTCATGTCTACCTGGAAGGCTTTAGTCAATCTGTGATTTCTGTAATTTAGTGGGAGACTTTTGGGAAGAAAACATCTGTTTCTTTCTGATTAGGATTGTTATGGTGTTTGCTTGACTGATTTCCACTCAGTCTAGTTCCGTGAAAAGGACGAGGACTGAAGCAAAGTACCAGTACCAGCACCTGATTTCGCAAAACTCATTGTAACTTACAATGCATTGCAGCGCTGTGACGCGTTATATATCACTACGATGCGATACGTAAGTGCGCAACATCGTAGGCGTATTTATAGCACAACATGGTGACTGTTACATGTATTTATTCTGCGTACAGTAAATAGTCGTCTGATATTCAACAAAATGTCGTCGGATCTCCTCTCGAAATGTTTTTAAAACGTAAAACAAAATGGCGGACGTGTGATGCAGTTTTAAGGGAAAACAAGCCCGCGGTGGACTGTATAGCTACTTTGAAATTGCAACTGCAATTTTCCAGGATAATTCATATTTACTTCAATGCATTTTCCATTTAAAACTTTACACACATGGTCTCGGTATTATAGTCTCGTTTATGTAGTTTTTAGGGCATAAAACTGGCTAAGAAAAGAACGCTTCTTATTTTGCGATGAGCACTAGACGGTGTAACTTGCAATGTGTTTTAAAGGGAATATATATCATTTGTTTTTGTTGTAATTTTCAGAAATGGATGGATTTGGGAGGTTAGTATTTTATAGCAAATATTGTTACACTGACTTTTTTGACGTTTTGGGTTCGTAGATGCTATAAAAACCAATAAAAACAATCATTTTCCTGTAGTCTGGTTCCCTGACTCCATTTAAGATGAGACTGAGCAATATATAGACGTTGGGGAATTGTAAGGTCAGGGAACCAATCTGGCTGGCTTGTACCCATTCACAGGTGTGTAATCGATTGCAAACAAATGCAGACTTAGAACTAAATATGGTCAATTGGGGCAAGTATTTGAAAAAAGCCAGGTTTTTCCAACGCTGGTCAGCCGACCAGTGTTGGAAATTGATACAAAAATACCACTTTTCTTGAAAATGACAGTACACCAGGTGCCATGATTTTACAGGATGCTTTAGACTGTCATTCACTAACAGTCCAGCAAGGTATTTCCTAATAATTTGGTAGATTTATTTTTTGATGTTTGCAAATGTTGTATTTTCCCTTTAAGCCATTTTCAAGGAACTTACCACGCATTGAACACATCGCAAGTTTCATAAAATGGATCATAAGACGCATTGCAAGTTGCAACTTGTTCAAAATACACATTGTAACTCAGGTTGCAATGCGTTGCACTTTTTCTACTGTTCTTCTCCTTGTTTCTATTGTATTCGCAAAATGATAGCATTCCACCAGTGGAGTACTGAGATGTCTGTAGATGTCCTCTCTCGGGCATGTCATGGCCCAATAGACTCACCTCCAGTCTGATGCCAAAGACCTGTGCCTGTGATATGATAGCTTCCAGCTCATGCAGTCCCTGTTTGACCATGGAACCGCTCGGCCCTTTGCAGTTTACCAGTGACTTCAGGGCACCGGCCACTTTGCTGTGGTGACCCTCAAGCTCGATGTAGCTGTACAAATTCCGAACCTGAAACAGAATGGCAATAGATCAGAGCCGCTAAATCTAAGGCCACAATACACCTTTATCATGCTGCCACCATTTCAGTCGTGTTCCCCATATCCAGTAACAGTCGGAATGATACTGGTTTTTGTGCAAAAAAGAACCAGACTATTTTTCCTTCCAGCCTCGCTTTGGTTGCATTGATATGAATGGGAAAAATCCAAATGGCCGCAACATGATAATGGTCTATAAAGGTCTTCAACAATGTTGTAGGCATGTTTTCAGACATTTACATGGTTATACCAATAACCCTCACCTTCCATAATCAACCGAGACGTTGGGAAGATCTTGCAAGATTGAGAACGATGAACAGCCCAGCACCTTGTTTTTTTACATGGGGCTTGATGTCCCATGAAAGAGTGCATACCATGTGCCATTAACATTTCAGAGATATGGTAGACACAAAAGGAGAGACTATTTGGTTTGGGTCAACTCTTTCGTAAACATCAAACTTTTCATGAAATTGGGACAGGATCCATGGGACAGGGACATGTGAATCGGTACACATAATCAGTTATTAGAAAGGGTTCACATCTTGGCGGATACATGTTCACATACGTTTAGCTGCTTGTTACCGCTGTCGACCATACTGTTGTTTCACACTGTGTATGCGTACGCATATTATACAAATATTGAATGCTTCGAGTGGTGTAGTAAAACTAGCCTCCCGAGGTGATCCATGGACATTTTATTTTCCCGAAGCGAAGCCGAGGGAAAATAGAATGTTCCATGGATCACCGAGGGAGGCTAGTTTTACTTCACCACAAAATAAAGCGTTCAATATTTGTTTTATAACACTTCACCCACAGATTCTGCTTGGTTTCAATATTTTAAATTATCTAAATCTGAACACAGTTGAAATAAACTTCAATTTCAATACCAAATTTGGCTAACCTGTTGTTCAGACAGTGACATGCTGCAGAGCCGGGTCTGTATCTGAAGCTTGGTCAGCTTCTCTGTGCGAGCGTCGCTGAGGATCTTATAGACCTCGTGGTGTTTATCGCCGGGAATTCCACAGTGGTTTAGGACGGCCGTGAGCAGGGAGGTGTGGTTTAGTCGGATGGAGTAGTTACGTGCCTGTGAAAAAACAAGAAAACTTTGGCTGTTAGTGTGAACACTGCTTCAATATCTTATCCGGATATAGAGTCAGAGAACACCCAGCAAGTTGTCCTTTTGACCTCTGACATATGACGTGAATATTTACCAATGCACAAATGTATGGACAAAGCTTTCTTTGTGTGCACATACGTGTACTTGTGAACGCGACTAAAGAAGTTTAGAATCATCAAGGCACGAAGCAACCAATACAATTTGAGAAGCTTTTAGGACATTGTTTATCCATATTTTCATGACTGTATGAAGTCAGGTCTCCAATTAAAAATCCACACAGTCTCTCTTTTAGAGGCTATGTGCCCAGTTTTTCAAGTTTCTAAGATATCATGAAAGTTTTTAAAAGCAGATCATACAAGTTCACGTGTTAAGATTTCACAAAGAGTTGGTTTTTTAATTTATTAAAGTTTGTTGTCATTACAATTCTTCCACTTGAGGAATATCATGATAGTTGGTTCAGTTTAATACATGTCAACATCTGCAAATGATAAGTTGCTAGGTTTTATGTTTACTGCAGGCATGGCAGGGATCATCTGGGGCCGATTTTATGAAACCTCCATGACGCGTCTTAGGAAGGGTAACTCGTCTTAACTCGCGACACGTCCTGGGATCGATTTTGCCAAACTTAAGACGAATTCCACACATCCTAACTTCCTTAGCAATGCGGCTGAACTCTTCTTAACTTAAGATCGGTCTGAGGGTCATCTTATCTCATTAATGCTTGCGTTAATTTGTATATCATCTGGAAATCATTGCCATTAAAGACAAGTGTCCGCCTAGAGTTATAGTTTCGAGGAAGAAAACCACTGTAGAAACAGATTTGAAAAGATTTCTGATACGTGGGTAGTTATATTAAAACTAGCTCATTTACAAAATTTAATTATACGCAAACACCTAGTCAACTTTTTAAAATACGGTAATAAAACGGGGAGCAAGAATTACTTTATCGTATCTTGTGTAGACCTACATTGTACCTTTCGTGTGAAATTTATTGAGTAGAGTACTTTTTCTGGCTAAATTTAGTGTTCTATGCATGCGCGTGGAAAGTTGGTTTTGCGCATTTTTTTTGAACGACTGTTTTGTCAAGCGGTATAAACAAACATGAAACAGCAATCAAATTGGAAGTTTTGATGCGTCTTGCTTAAGATAGACTTCGTGAAATCGGTCTTAGGATGCGTCTTAAGTCCTAAGATGAGTCGCAAGATAAGACAAGTTTCACGAAATCGGCCCCAAGCCAGCCAGCCACACTCCCGAGGCCATCCTTCTCAATTTGGTGCTCAATTTATTATTCTCCTGCACCCTGCGGCTACGATTTGCCCAATGTTTCAAAGCAATTTAATACTTTTTCCAACAAAATTAAAAAGCAGTCTGTGGGCAGTACATGTACATGAGCTATTAAGAACAGCATTGTGCACGGACAAAAGTGTGGTCAGTAAAGCGTTATCTCACCTGCAATGCAGGGAATTCATTGATGATTTCAGACACGATGTGAAGAATCTCCGCGTCGGGAATCAAGCCCACGGAACTAGAGGTGACAATGTCAAAGGCACACTCTGTCAACTCTCTGGGATGACAGCCATAGATCTGCCTCTCTCGGTACACACGCTCGATGCAATACCTAGGAAAACAAGGAGAGAATTGTTTTTACTCTTTAGTTCCTGTACAAGCTTTTATATAGATTCATCAAATACATGGGCGTCGCCAGGATTTTTTCTAGAGGGGGGCACACAAAATTTTTGCCAAAAAATGCTTGTATTTCTCAACACATTTTCGATTTATCAGTTTTAGGGGGGGGGGGCAGGGACATTTTGCCTCCCCCCCCCCCCCCCCCCACTCATTAAATTTACACCACTTTGTCTTCGCGCCTTTTTTTCTTTCTTTTTTCTTTTTTCTTTTTTTTCTTCCTTTTTTTTTTTTTTTTTTGCTTTTCCGGGGGGGGGGGGGGGCAAGTGCCCCCCCTTGCCCCCCCCCTCACGACGCCCATGGATCAAATAGTATTCATAAATACCTAAAACAGTCACATGGCCAGTTTTAAATGGTTGATAAAGACCGGCTGGCTTGTCTTAAACATTTTTCCAATGTCACATGAAATTTGGACTCCTACGAAATCCAGTGCCTTTTTATACCGTTTTATTAGTTGATCTTCAATGTTCACAATGCTCAAGTAGCCAAGCGCAATACTACATGTACCAGTGAGTCAGTATTTCATAGTCCTAAATTCACACTACACCGGCACAGCTGCATTCTGCGCCACGTCACGCAGTACGCGTGGCGCGCGTGCCAATCACCATATACATGTAAGGACTTCTTAACGACATGGATACACCATAATATAGCCAGAGGGATGTTTAAAAAAAACATGAAGTAACAGTGTTGAACAAAATAGGTGGAAATTTATAATTTTTGCATTGTTTTGACTTTTGGATAGAAAAGTTTTGATTTTTTGACCAAAAAGGTATTTTATGAATGGGAATAATATGTGTTTGGCCGGTATTAAATACTATGTTTGAGACCGGTTGAAGTTCTCAGCACCCAGACTCCAACCGGTCTTAAAACAGAGTGTTTAAAACTGGCCAAGCACACCATTATTCTCTTATTAAATTACAATGTTATACATGGGCTACTGGTTATTATAGACAACAATTTATGTGTGTGTGAACAAAAGGCGGCACTATGCAACCTAACATTATTATTAGGGCAGTTGTAAGGAATTATAAGTCTCACTGCCAAAACCTCAAAAATCCAAATGCCACATGAAACATGTATCCTTTTGAAGTCTATTATATGTATTTTATTGAAATATAGTTCATTGGTATCAGTGATCAACAGTTCAGCTGTTACTTTTAACTGAAAACTTTAAAAGTAAAAAAAAAATAATAATCTGTCTGAGTACCTCCGACACATGAAATTTCAATCCGATTTCTACCCAGTACAGCAAAAAAGTTTGATAAATCAATTTCTTGTTTAAATCATTGTAGTAACTAACTGATAAATTTTATTAGAATTAAAATCCACTTTATGATGACAAATTTTATTATGCACACTGTTGAATTGCACAACATGTACGTCCGAAATTGTGGAACTGCCATTATCATCATAGTATAATACAAGAAAACAATGTAAAAGATACTCAATTTATATGTAATGTTTACTGTTCATTAGAGTGTATGAGGCAAGATGGCATTCAATGTGTTTTTTTTTCATTGATGGGCCCTCATTTCTAATTTTTACCATTATCATGAGGCGACATGTTTTGCAAAAACCCTTTTCATTTGTTGTACACATTCTGGAGAAATTATTCTGGAGCAATTGTGACACCTTTAATTCCTTGAATGATAATGTGAAATTCCGTGAAAAAAAAATGTGAAATAGTATTTAATTGGTGTTTTTTTTATAAACAGAAGAGTAAGTGTTCTATGATCGATAATTCTACACCCCAGAACACCATATCCCCACTCCCACAAACAAAGTTCCCTACTTGCTATTTTTAAAGACCATTAGCCAGTTTTCTTGCTGTAAGCTGCACATCCATATAATATTCCAGAGATACTTTCCGCAGAAGTCAATATTCGTTTAGGCTCTTCTGATCATGCAGCCCTTTTGTTAAAAGGTATTGCCATGGTTTCGGCCTGAATTCAGAACCAAAAAAAAAGAGAAACAATCCTATTTTGCTGGCCAACAGAATCAGAAAACTTGTTTCTCAGTCTAAGCACCACAATTAAGTCCTTGAAGGCTCGAAGGTAAAGCGACAAACAGAAATAAAATGTATGTTTTGTACTTGCATTCAACAAATTGTTTTCAAATTAAAGATCGATGATGAGATGATTATATTTGTAAACAAAAATATTAATCCTTGTTAACAAATTTTCAAACATTTGGACAGAACCCAAAGTTAAAATGTGGGACCTTGTATATATTCACTTGATCTGATCTCCAGTTCCATTTTACAAAGAATCAATGATGTCTGGTCTGTAGAAATAAGCATTAAAAACATTCCATATAGACCCCGCTATGCAAACATACATTCTGTGAACAGAAAATAAAAATAAGGACGGCGACATTTGTATGATCAAAATAAATACTTCCTATTTAATTGATTTAAATTAATTTAATTAATACAAGGAAATAAAATTGGTAAGTGGAAATAATATAATAAATGACTTGAATTTCAGAACACCCGTACTGAAATTCGTATGCTTGTGGAGACATTTCTTTGTTCTCGTGTAGTCAAGTTTTGGAGTTTGAAAGTGTAGTTTCAAAATGCTCTTATTTTAACCAGAATTAATTTCCTTGGCTGAAATTCGGACTTAATGTCCCTTTCTAAAACTCTTCCATTTGCGAAAGATCAACCCACCTTGGAAATTCCTAGTTTTTGAGTAAAATCCATATATCTATTTCGCAAAAACCTTGTGGAGACGTATTCATCTATAGAAATTGCCCTGTGGAGACGTATACAATCTTTTGTTCCCTATTGTGTGCATGTCTCCAGAGGGCACGGTGTATCAAATCATATTGTGACAAGGATTGATTGGCTGTGACTGTTTAAGTAACTTGATACAGCTATGCTTTGACTGTAGGTGACTGATAAGCCAGCTGTGACTACTTCTTGCCTGCTTTTGTCTGTTGATTGAATTTGACTAGTCACAGTGCTTGCTTAAAATATGATCTGACTGTTGGTGACTAGCCTGTGTAAAAGGCATGGCAGGGGAGGTGGATGGATATTTTTACTGTCTGGGACTGCCTGTGACTGGTTGAAACAGCTTTGAGTTGTACTTTTTTCAATGACCAGGGACCATTTAAGTTATTGCTTCATGTTTTGAATATGCCACCAGGCCAATATCAGTGTTCCGCGGCTCCATGCAACTGCACACATATACAAGTGGCAGCCCCTGTAAAAGTGTTGGCCAAGTCCTTAAATGTTTTAACAGAGTACAAACAATTTGCTTAAAGGGAATATATATAAATATATGTATGTATTAACAAAATTTGAATTTTACTGTAATTTTCAGAAACGGATGGATTTGGGGGGTAAGTATTTAATATGAAATATTGTTACACCGACTTGTTTGAAGTTTTATGTGTTCGTAGATGCTGGTAAAACCAAGAAAAATAATCAAGTGGCTGAATTCAGGTCCCCTGACCCCATGTAAGACGAAACACAGCAATTTATAGATGTCGGGGAATTGTAAGGTCAGGGAACCAGTGTACCGGTAGCTGGCTGGTACCCGTTCATTCGGTGGGTAATCGATTGCAAACAAAATGCAGACTAACTAAATATGGTTAATTGGGGGCACTACCAGTATTTGAAAAAAGCCAGTGTTTTCCAACGCTTGTCAGTCAGACCTATGGCCAGACCCAACACCAAAAAAACCCCCAAAAACTTGTTTTCATCAGGATACATATGTAAGAAACAACATTTTTTTCTGTATTGTATCCTTTGCTTCACAACCCCCCCCCCCCAACTCCATTACCACTGGAGCCAATTTGATATGTATCTGATACATTCACAAGTCTGATACATTCATTTGTTGTGCACATTCTGGAGGAATTGTGACATCTTTAAATCCTTGAATGATAATGTGAAATTCTGTAATATAATAGTATTTAATTTTTTTTTTTTTTATAAACAGAAGAGTAAGTGTTCTATGATCGATAATTCTAAACCCCAGAACACCATATCCCCACTCCCACAAACAAAATTCCCTACTTGCTATCTTTAAAGACCATTAGCCAGTTTTCTTGCTGTCAAGTCAAGAAATCCATATCAATTGTCAGCAATGGTTGACAAATTGCAGGCAATTTGACGGTTGATTATTGAATCATTCATACGAGGAACAAATAACAACAAAAGCTGAAGTCTGCTTTTGTGTGTGTCAGTACTGTGAAAAACATCTCATCCCACAGACCAATATCAATGCTCCACAGGACCAATGGCCAATCACAGCGCTGCACGATTCAGTTTCCATAGTTTCAAATGTCTGACGTGTTGTGAAGGATCTTGGACATGTGTCATGGGAAGATACATACATCGGCATGCATTAATTAAACCCATATTGCTGTTTAATTGCAATCATACGCAATGTAAATATCTGCAATACATTACACGTGCAGACGCTGGACAAAACCAGTGGTTGCACACACAAACCGATATTCTTCATTTTTCACAGGCAGGGCCATTAAGTGTCATAATGATGATTTTACAAGATGATTTTTATCCAAAGGATTAATTTATTCTGGTATCTGAGAAGCAACGGGTTTTCACAGTTTTTGACATAATTTTTATACTTAGTCCTTTATTCTGGTTCTACTTTGGGAATGGGTTTTGCATTAATTTCGCATGTGCTTTTTTACGCTCTAAAATTTTTAGTGCTTTAAACTGTGTGCAATTGTAATGTTTTGATGTGATTGTGTATTTATTTCCTGAATATTGTAGCGTATTTTGAATTTTTTATATTTTTAATGAGAGACGACAACATGTAATTTCCAGTTTTGGATTTTAATAAAGTTTATGTATCTATCTATCTATCTAAACCAAATAAATACTGAGCTTGGGAATTGTCAAATTCTGTAAAAAAAACTAACCAAATAAAAAACACCTGCGATTTTAACTGACTGATA